AAGCAAACAAGCCTGGGTCAGGAGCCTGATATCACATGACCTTCTGTGAGTCTTACATCAAAACTCTTCATCTCTGTGCTACGGATTCCCATCATAAGATAAAAATGGCAATAACTACCTCATAGGGATGTTCTTAGGATTACATATGAATAGTCTTTGCTTATGCAGATCCAGGTCTCCCATGATCCTTGAGCATCCAGGTGCAGGCTCCACTGCAAATTCTGATGCATGAATCCCTTTTGTAAAACAAGTATAAAATGCTCCCAGGCTGATGTGGCCTCCCCCTCTATGGAATTTTATTCAGTGTATGGACACTTCTGCTCTGGGTTCCGTCTGCCCTGCTGAACTTAACCCACCTTGCTCCTTGGCTCTGACAGGGGTGATGCTCAGAAATCCTTCTGCTCCATTTGTCCTGCCAGACCAGGGCCAGGGACTAGGGTGTTCTCAGCTGCAGGGCCTGCTTCACATCACTTCACTTTGCTCACTCCTACCCATGGCCATGTAGAAGCTGCGAAACCCTGCACATAGGTTTGCATTTTTGTTGCCTTATTTTGTTTACTACTAACCATAACAAAGTCATATAATACAGCCTGATGTACATAGAAATATATGAAAAATCAACTGTTTTTAACTACCTACCTATCCCATCTAAGCTATCCTATCAAAGCTGGACATGGTAGCATATACCTATACCCCTATTACTCGGGAGCCTGAGGCAGGATGAAGACTGAGGCCAGCCTGAGATACATAGTAAGACCCTGTCTCAAAAAAACTAAAGAAAAAGAAAAACCTGACCTTACAAAACATGATATAATAAAAATAGTATTGTGGCTGCAGATGGAAGTCAACAATGAATTCTACAAAAAGGCCATTAGTATGCAAAAACCCTAAGAGTGGCCTCAACATGTAAAAACAAGTGGTAGAAAGATGGAAGTCTAGAGTGTGCTCAAGCTTATTTCTTTAAAAAAATCAATTTCTATCACGGTATGCAAAAGATCAATGGAAGAAAAGGAAAAGGGGTCAGCCTATGCTTGTAGTTAATGTGATATTTTTTAAATGATAGACAACGGAAGAACTCAGCCACCATTTTGCCTCCCCATTCTCTATCAAAAGGAATTATCTTCAACCTGGAAATGATGAGACAAATGCAGTTAAAAGGAATACAAAGCCTAAAACAGCTGAAAAGATAGGAAAAGAAAACGTGAGTTTTAAATGAGTCCATGATTCTAGACCCACATGAATTGGAGCACCTGGGACTTACAAATAAAAGAAGCTGTAGATGTAATCAAAAAACCATTACCTAGTCCTTGAGATGAGTGAGTACACTAATTTTCAGAAAGGGTTTGATAAAAGATCGACTGTGACTTCAGACCAAGGCACTTGAAGCCAATTTTACAAAAGAGCCTAGATTACAAAGTAATTGGTGCCAGGAGTGGTGGCACATAAAGACAAAAGCAAGTCGATCTCTGTGAGTTCAAGGCCAGCCTGGTGACATAGTGAGCTCCAGGCCAGCTAGGGATACACAATTAGACCCAGTCTAATTGTGGTAAGCGAAGGTCCTAATCTTTTAAACAATATGCATACAGAAATGGTTGTCTAGAAGGACTATACTTAGGACTAGAATGGTAGTGAGATGTAATTTGTAACAGTGACTTATTTGATGTTATACATATTTTTATCATACAGCACAGCTGAGGTGTGAGCGAGCTCTCAGTTGCTTTCAAGTGTTATTTAACAGCCAGTGCTCGAGGATACATGCAGTAGAGGGAGAGCCCGGAGAGCTGAGGAAAAGATGTAGGCAGCTCACAGGGGCAGGGGTGATTGACACAAGAAAGCTTCACGGGGAAACAAAACTAAGAGGTGGAATGAGCCTTGAGTTTGAAACGTACTGCCTGGCATTTGCTTCCACGATCCAGTCAGTGTAGCTCAAAGGTGGAGGAGAGAAGAGTGTTATAGATAACACAGGACTGGGCATGAGATGACTGTTGAAATTAGGTGACAGATGAACAGAAGTTCATCATGCTGTTTGTGTTTCTTAAAATTCCTTGTAAGCCATTAGCCATTCCCCAACAAACTGAAGTAAAAAGAAAACCACTAAAATGCTTACAACGGCCAATGGACCCTAGGCCATCCTGTCACTCTTCTGCTACCTCTGTCCTCCTTCTTGCTTGCTCCCTCTCTGCTGTTCGGAGTTCTTCCTCTCAGTATACTCAGCTAAATATCCACTCAGTTCACCTACCTCTCAAGGCAGTGCCAGAATGACACCATCCAATGCACAACTCTAGTTGACCCTAGTTGTTCTACGTACATGCATCGTGCATTTCCTGCAGCACTGAGTGTCTTTAAACATACAAATTTACTTACTTGTCTTTGCCACTAGAATTTGAATTCCCAAAGGACAGGACATTTTTGTTCTGGAGTTTTGTTCAGCACTTAGGATATTGTCTGCTACCTAATGAGAAAGTTGAGTCCATGGTATGTGAGAGTAGACGCCACTAGCGCTTTGGTACCAATCTCTCCTTCAACAGCAGGGGTAACAAAGACCCTCCTACCAACTCTTGCACTAAACAAACCAGGATGCCTGATTTCTGAAGGAGTGAAATCCTCATACATAGCTCATCAGTTACTGCCCCCCTCCCTAACCTCTAGGTAGATTCCATAATTTGATTGGATATAGCCAATGCTATTTCTAATTATCATAACATGGTACCACAAAATTGATAGCCAAACTCCTCCTGATTAAAAAAATTGTACAAATCATAATTCTAAATTTTCTCAAAACTAGGGCTTTGTCATATTTTAGGAAATTTTGGAGAAAATGGTGACAAATGTTCATAGTCAGATTGATGACTGGGAAGAGTGTAAACATTGAAAGCCAAGGCAGAAACCACTTAACTTGCCAAGACTACTGTGCATGAGGCAATGTCCAGCAGGCTTCCTGTGTCCCCGGCTACCTCCCATCAATAAGTCACCCCTACGGACATCTTTGCCTATCCAGAGCACAAAAACAACCACGCAGCTTGGACAATTACATTATTTTGGATTATATGATCACCAAAGTATTCCATGTCTGTATTGTGTTTCTGTGCTTCCAAAAGGAAAACAAAAAGCAAAAAAACTTGGGAACTCCAAAATAAACCCAGGGTGCATGGGGAGACTCAATTGGTAAGGGAATTATAGATCTCATCTTTAATGACAGTAATCAAATTCAGTTTGATTTACTTCCAAGTAAGCTTATAGTTTATAGTGTACTCGCTGTTCGGAATCTAGATGACCTTTCCAGAGCTGATCAAGGCCAAAATATTAATTCAGGAGAAAGCAGACAGGTTCTCTAGCTTCCTTTATCCCCTGTACCAGCTAAATGCCTCGTGATGCTCAGACTTGAGGAAACAGCGCCATCTGGAGGGTCTCCACTTTAGAGAAATTCTTTTGTAACAAAACCCATGGGCTCAGTCAGGAATTCAGGATCAACAAGGGCCAGTTCACTGATTTAGGTTGTTTGCACACTTACCTTTTGAACAATTTCCTGTTTTACGATCTTGGGACATCTTTCAAGGACTTCCGTATAACCCTGGTTGTTCTTAAGGAACAGGTTCCTCCCACTTGGACACAATTCACTCAATGAATGATTCCCAGTGACTCCCTCGCTACCACAATGGATACGCTCTTTGAATTTCTCCTCCCAGGCCAAATGATATTCCCAATCAGAACAGGTCTCTCCAAAGGCTAAGTATGAGCTCCCAGACCACAGTTCCCATGTGTCCAATCAGAGGATTCATCTAACCAAACTAAACACCTAGCTGGCAGCTATCAATGACACTGGCCGAAAGGCTGTTTGCCTGCGCTATGTATCATGGCTTACAGACTGCTCACAAGAGGGGAAATCGTGCCCCAAGGCTGAGCCTGTGCAACCAGAAACTACGGATGAGGTTTTGTTAAACTGAGAAAGGAATGAAGGGCCTGGTTTTCAGTTCTGAGACCCCACCTCCAAACTGCTATACCTGCCAAGCAGAATAGCTTCTATGAACAAAAGGAATCTGTTCTGTGTTAATAGCCCTGCAATGTACTGATTTCAATTCTTTTCCTTAGCTCATTCTTTCAATCACTGAGGAAAGAATACCACCTCAAATTGTGCGGATTTTCAAAACCAGTATTTTCCCCACCTGTGCAAGGAGCCCCTTCCTTTTCTCTTAAAAAAGCCCCCTTTTTAGTTCTCAAACACAGCTACCAACCACCACCAGTTGGCTCAGACTGCTTCCCCTCCTCTCACAGCAGAACATGCAGCATACAGTCAGTAGTGCAAGTGAGTCCTAAAGAAACGTCTTTAAAAAAAGAAAAAGTTAGTTCTATGGCCCTCAAATAGGAAAAGAAAGACTAAGCAAGCAGAATGGCTTGATTAACAGGATCGAATCAGAACTAAGACCGAGAGAGTGAAAACAGAGAACACCAAAGACAGTAGGAAAATGGAGCTTCTCGGAGGCAAGGGATTGGGACAGTGCAGACCGAAGCTGCAGGCCCGCGTACTGAAACCCCTTCAGAGCACCTGCCTCTGAAGCACACCGAGAATACACTCCCCGGCTCCTTTCGGAAAGGGGAATGGTATTGAGAGCACAATCTGGGATAGTTTCCACAGTATGCATCTCCAAAGACCAAAGGTCTCAAACACGAAGCTGAGCTGAAAACTTAAGTCTGTGCTGGGTCTGGGGAGATGGTTCCACGGGTAAAGCACTTGCCATGCCAGTGTGGGGAAAGGAGGTTCGATCCCCACCACTTGCATAAATGCCAGGCCTTGAGGTGACCCACCTGCAATCCCAGCACTCAGGAAGAACTAGCCAAAGGGGTGAGCTGAGTCCAGGTGAGAGATCCTGCCTCAAAAGAGGGTGGAGAGTAATAGAGGAAGACACCTGACAGCAACTCCTGGCCTCCACACATAGGTGTGAACACACACAAACCACACCCACATACATACACAGGCCAAATAAAAAAATCACCTACGTGCACCAACTAAAGGACTAGGCTACACAGCCTAGTGTTAGATTTCATCCACATTAACATTCCAAAGGAATTCTGGCAATTTAGAATTTTTGACATTTGACAGGAAACAGAAAAAACAGGACTTGAGTATGGGGGCAGCAAGAGAAGGGATCCATCCAAAAAAAATTGAATTTCGTCACAATAGCAAAACATGCCAAATCTTCTCAAAAACATGAGGCAGTCTTATGAAGAGGGGCAATGCGCAGTCATGGTGGTGGGTGCTTACAGCTGGGAAGTCAAGGGAGGGTTGAGAATGCAAGGTCGGAGAGAACTAGCCAGACCCTAGCTCAGACAGGGCACGCCTGAGTCAGACTTCAGGAAAAGGAAAAGCCTGTAAGAAAACATGGTGTTGGTCTCTTTGGCCACAGCTCATGTTATTGAAGACACTCACTCTTAACTCTGAAAGGCATTATTTACTGGAAAGAAATATAAGAGGTTTCCCTAATTCTTGTAAGGCCAAGTAATGTGCCCCGAATCCCCACCCTCCCCCCAAAAAAGTATCTTACAAATTCTTAACCCTAACTTTGGAATGTCCAAAGCTAGGGTCTAAAATTACAATGTACACAGCTCTCAGAGGTACAAATCATGCTGCCCAGCAGATTCATACTTGGCAAGGGAGAGCAGCAACAGTCACGGAACCCAGTGAATTGCTTAAAGTGATGTCCTAATATCCAGTTGAGAAAGCCTTCATCCAGGCCATGTCAGGTGTCCTGATGTGAAGTCACACTTCCACGACATATTGGTTCACCAAAACCAATGAGTGATTCTGAGAAGTTCTGAAGGAAATAATGACAGCCATGGAGGAACCAGAGTCAAGAGAGGCTTTCCCAGGGAGGGAGAACTATTTAATCTTAGCAAGGGCAGCAGCTCTTCTTTCTGTGTTCTGGAACAAGGCACGGATTAAAGCTTTTACTTCGCTGGAAGAGAATGCAGTTGCCAGGGGCCCCTTTCCATCTGCCCACCTGCAAAACAAGACAGGTTCTATTTCCTGTTACGTCTCCACAAAAACCAGACTTTAAGTTACCCTACTTGACCCAAACACTCGAGGAATTAAATAAATCCTGGGAGTCCCACTCTTCTTTAGATGATGTTGCTCATGGCTGCATCTGGCCCAAGTACAGCCAGCAGAGACAGGGGAGAGATGGCTCAGTGGTTATGAGCACTGGCTGCTCTTCTAGAGGACCAGGGTTCAATTCCCAGCACCTACATGGCAGCTCACAACCATCTGTAACTCTAGTTCCAAGGGACCTGATATCCTCTTGTGGTCTCTGTGGGCACCAGGCACACATATGGGTACACAGACATACATGCACACAAAATTTCCATACACATAAAGTACATAAATCTTTTTTGTTGTTGTTTTTGTTTTTCGAGATAGGGTTTCTCTGTGTAGCTTTGGAACCTGTTCTGGACCTCGCTCTGTGGACCAGGCTGGCCTCAAACTCACAGAGATCCGCCTGCCTCTGCCTCCCAAGTGCTGGGATTAAAGGTGTGCGCCACCACCTCCCGGCAAAATATGTAAATCTTTTTTAAATAAGTAAGTGAGTGAGAGAGAGAGAGAACTTGAGCCACATATGGTAGCTCACATCTGCAATTTAAGCACTTGGGAGGCTGAGGCAGGAAGATGTTTTATTGAAATTCAAGGCCAGCCTGGTGTATAGAACAATTTCTGGCCTAGAGTATATAGAAAGACCTTGTATGAAAAACACAAAACACCTTTTGCAGGGGTGTGGTACTTAACCTCCTAAACCAGTGGTTCTCAACCTTCTTAATGCTTTGATCCTTTAATATGGAATGTAAATATCTACTATGTAGGGTATCTGATGTGCAACCCCTTGGAAAGTGTCATTCAACCCCAAAGGGGGTCACAACCCACAGGCTGAGAATCACTCTCTCTCCCTGGAGAAAAAGAACTGGTCATTCAAAAGGTGGTTTTGTGCTGAATACTTAAGACTTGACAATCACTTCTCTGTTAAATTATTCATTCTTTTTTATAAACTGCAGTGCTGGGGATCTAATCGTTCTTAAAACGCATCATCCAGGTGTAAGAAGGATGCACTAATTAGAAACACCAGAACATCTGTACTGCATGCCAAAATCACATGTTCTATCAAAACAGTATGAATGAAAAATCTTTTGCTATTAAATATGAGAAAGTGGGCCGGGCGGTGGTGGCGCACGCCTTTAATCCCAGCACTCGGGAGGCAGAGCCAGGCGGATCTCTGTGAGTTCGAGGCCAGCCTGGACTACCAAGTGAGTCCCAGGAAAGGCACAAAGCTACACAGAGAAACCCTGTCTCAAAAAACCAAAAAAAAAAAAAAAAAAAAATATGAGAAAGTGGTCATGAGGTCTGCCCTATGAAAGACCACTAAAAGGCCTCAACTACTGCAGTGCAACATGAAATTTATGTACAGAGGTGCCAGAGACATGGCTCAGTGGTAGAGGGCTTGCCTAGCATGCACAAGACCCTGGATTAAATAACCTACACATCTGTCTGTCTGTCTGTCTGTCTCTCTCTCTCTCACACACACACACACACACACACACACACACACACGACACGGGACTGCCACTGATGGTCCTAGTCCTCTTTTTTTTTTTTTTTTTTTGGTTTTTCGAGACAGGGTTTCTCTGTGTAGCTTTGCGCCTTTCCTGGGACTCACTTGGTAGCCCAGGCTGGCCTCGAACTCACAGAGATCCGCCTGCCTCTGCCTCCCGAGTGCTGGGATTAAAGGCGTGCGCCACCACCGCCCGGCCCTAGTCCTCTTTTGTGACCACACATATGCGGCCATAGAAAACAGATACGCACCGATCTCCAATCTCTTGCAGGCTAGCCTGCAGCATGATCATCAGCTCTTTGAAAGGCATCCATTTGGCCACATAAACTGGAACCTCTTCCTGGTATTTCTTGTTCTTGTTTTCATCAGACAGAGGTGCAAACACTTGCGGCCCTTCATCCATCACGGTTTTGCACAGGGAATACAATCTATCACCATCTTCAGTTGAGATGTCCTAGTTTAGCACAAAGGGAACATAACAGAATAGAACTGAGCCAAAGGGCGGGGCAGAGCAGATGTTTTCCAGCCAGTGAAGCACATCTTAGTAGTCACTAGATCCAGTCAGCTCTCTGAAAACCCTCCTGAAGCTAGCACATTATAAGCTGTGCATTAGCTGATGGTCAGCAGTTCTATGTGTCTGCACAGGAGCCTGTGTTCCCAGCACAATGTGCTACACAGCCTGCTGCAAAGGACAGGGCTACTGCAAGTCAGGGTTTGATCAAGGTGCACTGTGGAGGACCAGCTAGCCACGCTCCGGCAATTTTCCTCATAGGACCACACAGTCCACTCAACTACACAGTATGCTGGCAAAGTGGTACCTACACAGACTATTCACGTTGCTAAATTAAGTTACTTAGTTCATCTGCAGAACAAATGACTTCATACTAAATAATGTTTCTTGGGACCACTGCCCAGTTTCCAATGTCCTCACTCCTAATTTGGATGCTGGATTGAGAAGCCGCACAACCCTACTTTCTTCTCTAGGTATAAAAGAGATTAGCAAGTTCCCAGCAAAACAGAATTCAGACAAAACTGGAACCAACCAACCAAACCACAATAGCATGAGTTAGAAACTAAATAACCAATCTCTTCTACCATTTGTGCCAATTAAAAACAAGGCTGCAGCATCACTTTCTTAATAAAGCCACAGTGCGGGATAAGACTGCATTTCAAGTCTGTATCAGCCCTTACCTCCAGAGCAGTGATTCTGCTAATCATCTCAGCAATCGCGGTGTTTAGCAAGGTCCCCATAGCCTTGCAATATATATTCACCGGCAGGACATCCTGCCACACAATTCCAAGTCTCTTTAGCTGGTGCAGTATCTGTCAGAAGAACAAAGCTATTTACACAGAAGGAGGTGGCTACAAGTCACACTTACAATTTTATGTGATAAGTAAAATGGGGGAAAGAAGTGATATAAAAGTGAGGCTGCCGGGCGGTGGTGGCGCACGCCTTTAATCCCAGCACTCGGGAGGCAGAGCCAGGCGGATCTCTGTGAGTTCGAGGCCAGCCTGGACTACCAAGTGAGTTCCAGGAAAGGCGCAAAGCTACACAGAGAAACCCTGTCTCGAAAAAACCAAAAAAAAAAAAAAAAAAAAAAAAAAAAAAAAAAAAAAGTGAGGTAACTGGGACTCTATGGCTCTCGAATGTTTGACTCAGGGATATCCTTGAGAGAAGAAAAGCAGACTCATCCTGATGGGAGCACTGCAGTGAAGAGAAAACCAGCTAAATGTGGTGTGTACACAATGGAGCACTGCTGCACCACAAAGACTGGAGTCGTGTCATTTGCAAGAAAACATGCACGGCTGGAGATGACCACTGTAAGCAAATGAAGTGAGTCTCAGGGAACACAGATCATGGCTTTGCTCATCTGTGGTTCCTAGATTTTACACAGACCCAGACAATAATGTCTGTGTAATGACAGAAAAGTAGAGCAAGGGACTCAGCACTTGATACGAGAGGTGAGAAAAAGGAAGGAAAGGAGTGTGTGTTCTATGAATATCTGCATGCAAATGTCCTTATCAAACCCAGTCCATATACAACCAATATACACCAATGGAAGACTCACTTAAGAAAGGAGTAGAGACGAAAGCCAACATTTAAAAATTTGAGTCAAGGGAAAGATGGCTTCCTCTAGTCTTGTTTGAACAGGGAGAAGGCCTTACACATAGCTGTGACAGGTATCTAGACTTTCCAATAGGGAGTACAGGAATCAACTGAGCGACTTGCTAGGTGGGGTGAGGAGCCTCTGAGGATGGGCACCATCGTCAGTGCCTGCAACAGCCTCCTACCTGCCTCACTGCTTTGCTTGCTGCAGAATAATTCTCTTCGTCATCCATGTTGGAAAAGCTCCTAGCACTTGATAATCTTTCCAGAAGTTCTCCTTTTTGTGCCCGCATTTGGGCCAAAAAACACTCTGTGCCTACAGGGGGAAAATAAAGAACCATAAGCCTGTTGACCCTCACTGCCTAACCAGTGAGCGAGATGAACATAAGCCTGACAGCTGCTGGGCCTGTACAGAACAACTGCATTTTTAAGTTACTAAATGTGTTCTTTGTCAACTTCGTGTCTGCATAAAATGATCCTGAATCCACTTAGCCAGTCCCTCTGATCCCATCAAAGGGTGATAGATAATCCTTTCTCAACAGTTTGCCTGCAATATGAGACAGCAAAGAAAAAAATCATTTCTATAAAAACCAGCTGCTTACCATTGCAGTGTCTACACCGCTGATGGGAACCCGTGCAGCTGAAAGGCTACTTGGACCACACAGGTTCTCAACTCTTCTCTGGGTGCCCTCATAATAAATTTCAGTTTACCCTACAATGGATTTCTTTGGACTTCTAATAATCACAATCAAAACCACAGAAGTCCTAAAGGGAGGGAGCTGCCTTGGGGTTTACAAGAACAAGAGTTGACATCAATGAGGGTCTGTCAACAACACCAACAGCACTGTCATGGTACACACCTCATTATGTGGCTTTCTCCTGACACAAATGACTCGGGGAAGCCAATGCATACCAGCAATAAAGTCAGGCATGTTAACATACCACAAAATCATGTCGTGAAAAAGTAATGTTTGCACAAAGATGGTATCCATTTTATAGAATTAAATAACTAGAAATATTAGCAAACTAGAAGACTTCCCATACTCTAACACATCTAACACATCACTAACTCCTAACCTCCTCGGCTACTAAATTACAAAGCTATTAGACTGTACATACAAGTCACATTCCCCAAATGTGAGGTATCGGTTACCAAGTCTTCTGAAGCCAGGGACAAGGTCCACAAAGGTAGTCGTGCCATCGCAAAGAATGGGGGCGAGACGCACTCTGAACTGATGGCCCAGGGTCAGCAAGTGATGAGCAATGTACATGCAGTTGTTATGGTGAATGGCAGCCAGCTGGGGGAGCTTCTGAAGGTTCTCCCTAGGCCAAGAGGAAGGGCAGAAAAGGAAACCACCGGTTACTCAAGCCAAGCTGTCTGGAAAGCTGTCTCTCCTCTAAGGTGGCAGCCCTTGGCTTTCACCACTGTCTACTTGTATATGCTGAACATAACAAAACATGAAGTCATTCTCATTCAGTTAGTTGTTCAAGCCAATATCACCTTATCCAATAAAATTCTCCCAGTGGTGGACTGGAGAGAAGTCTCGACAACCAAGAGTGCCTGCTGCTCATGCACAGGACCCGAGTTTGATGCCCAGTATGCAAGTCAGGTGGCTTACAACCAACCACCTGAAATCCCAGCTCTAGGGGATCCAACTTCTGGCCTCTGTAGGCATCTGTGCACATGCGCGCACACACACATTAAAAGAAACTACTATTCCAATGACTAACAAAAAAGAAAAATCAAAGAATCAACCGTGGATATGTTGCTCTTAGCACGAGAAACACAGTAAACTGCATTCTGAACTTCAATTCAACTTAGACAGTCTGGGGAAATACAGGTTCACTTCTCCCTTTCTGAACTCCCATTTCATTTATATAATGAAACACTGAAATTTTTCAAAATTGACTACAGATTAGAATCACATGGGAAATTTAAGACTACACAGTGAGGTGAACAAGTGAACACACACACACACACATAAACATAAAAAATAAACTCAATCTTTAAAAAAGAGAGAGTTGAACCCTTAAACTATGGAATGGTTTTGGTGACAAATTACTAAAAATATCTATAAAAAGCATACAGAAGCCAGGCTGTCATGGCGCACACCTTTAATCCCAGCATTTGGGAGGCAGAGACAAGAGGATCGCTGAGTTTGAAGCCAGCCTGGTCTACCAAATGAATTCCAGAACAGCCACGGCTACACAAAGAAATCCTGTCTTGAAAACAAAACAAAAAACCATGAAAACATTTCATTTTAATAACAGAAAGAAGTAGAGGCAGAGTTGAGCAACTTTTCAGATTAATATCAAAAGCAAACAAACCTTTAAAACCCAAGACATTGCCGGGCGGTGGTGGCGCACGCCTTTAATCCCAGCACTCGGGAGGCAGAGCCAGGCGGATCTCTGTGAGTTCGAGGCCAGCCTGGGCTACCAAGTGAGTTCCAGGAGAGGCACAAAGCTACACAGAGAAACCCTGTCTCGAAAAACCAAAAAAAAAAAAAAACCCAAGACATTGGGTTAATACAGCCTGATGCTGTATTAACATTAGAAAGAGTGCCTGAGCGTATTTCACACTAAGAGGGTCTTCTCAAGGGTAGGGTCTACAGAACTACAAAACCAAGCACACTCATTGGATGAGGACCTTCCTATTTCCTAACTAAGAAAAGTAAGGTGGCATTAAAAACTGGATAAAGTTCTTTTGACCTTTTAAGTGTGTGCCACCCACACGCAAGGTCACTGTACACACCACAGTAAATGTCTACAGCCTTTAAAAGTCTTAGTTTGGTGTACTTTTACTGCCAATTTTACTCAATAGCTGTGGTGAAAACCAGTTTTTGACCTGACTTACCATTTCTACAGACAATTATCCAGAAATGAGACACTTACTTGTGGTATGTTGGCACCACGTCATGGAACAAATGGAAGATATTCCTCACTGAGTAGAAAAGCTGAACGGCACTGGAAGGAGAACAAACGTTCAGGAGAAATTATACAAAACGACGCAGGTGTTCCGTTCATGAAGATCAGCTGATAAAAATATGGCTGCAGAAAACTGGATCTCAGTGGAGACACACTTCGTCAGCATCTATAAACAGAACTTCTTTCCCAAAACGTGGATACAATAACGACCTTCAGAACGGGAGCATTTATCCCAAAGCCTCTTCTCCACTTACCCATCTGTGCTCTGCCAGCACTCAAAGTATCCTGCCAGTGACTAATGGAGCTAAGCCTCAAGCAAATGTCACCTGTTCCCAATGCACTCTGCAAAGGGCAAGGCATCAACCAAGGCACTCACTGGGTTCTTTAGAATCGGGCTGACTTTCAGCTTTCACCTTCCCCTTCTTCCCCAATGCAGAGATGAATTCACATTTTTGAGAACAGCATCGAACCCTCAAGGTTTTTGCCCTTTAATTCTGATTTTAACCACCAAAAGATTACTATTAAAATGCATTCAAAAGGGGTGTGTGTAGGGAACAAGAGGCCTTGGCCTCCAAAATGAACCTTAAAAGAGAAAATACATGGAGATGGAGAGATGGCTCTTTTAAAGACCATTTGGGATGCCAAGCAACACCGCCAGAGTTCTATTCCCAACACCCACATGGTGGCTCACTACACCTGGAGATCCAATGCTTTTTTCTGACCTCTGCTGGCACCAGGCATACTTGTGTTCACAGATATACATGCAGACAAAACACCCGTACACATAAAGATTTTTTAAATAATTCAAAGAAATATTTAAAAAAATCTGTTGCAAATGGAATGAATATAAATATTCAGCATATCAAAAGAGTGTTTGGCATTAATTTTCTTAGAGGAAAAATTTTAAATAATGCCATGCATCTCTAACTTCTGGTCTGACATATTTGAAGAATGTCATTTGAGGAAATAGTGACAGCTATGTTTACCTTGCCAAAAGCACACATTCATCCTTTACAAAGGAACAGGTCTTCTGCACAAGCCAGTGAATGGCTCAGTAAGCAATAGCGCTCTCACAGTCCTAGTGAACCAAGCATGATTCCCAGAGCCCATGTAAAGGTGGAAGGAAGTGATTCCTCAAATTTGTCCTTTGACCTCCACATGTGTGCCATAGCATCTCACACACTCACACACACACACACACACACACACACACAAATAAATATGCACTATTCCTTCTACTCATAATCAATACTAATACTTCAGTTAGACTAACTGAAGCCACAGTAGCACTAGGTAAATAAGTTCTATTCAGAGCAACATAAAAAAGTGTTTGTGCTTGGTGGTGCACACACTTTTAATCCCAGCATTCAGGAGGCAGAGGCAGGCAGATCTCTGTGAGTTCGAGACCACCTTGGTCTACAGAGTGAGTTTCAGGATAGCCAGAGTTGTTACAGAGAAACCCCGTCTCGAACCCTATCCACCCAAAACAGTGTTTGCACATGAAAATCACCCATAGATCTGAGAATACAATGACTAAGTCAAGCCCAAACTCAAAGTGTTTTCTTTGAGGCCTGAGAAGTTAGAAGAACTAAACAGACTCATACTGAATGGGCTTTTATAAGCCTGCTCTACAATCAACTGGCTAGCCTGCCATTTTTTCCTCAGGAGCTGCTTCAAAACAAAGATTCTGTATGACATGTGAAACAGAGCCTGAGGCACCCTGAACACAGTGTAGATTAAGAGGAGCCATCATGAAAGGGTGCAGCCGGATCTGTGGCATGTTCTAATCCCGAAGAAGACTGACTCTCCCTCCCGCGTGCAGCGCCTTGCTGTGTAGAGCAGAAAGGTGAAGTTCTCAGTCCCTCCGGCTCCTCAGGCTCCACGTGGTGCTGTCACATGTGATATAACTACCATAATTATGCAGCAATGAGCACTTCAATATTAAGTCTTTGCAAGGGAGTGTTCTAGGTCCTCTGCCCGTGCTTTCTTATATAACATCCTTTGATCACAGAGAGCCAAAATTAAACCAAAATTTAAATTTAAAATCAAAAAGTGAGCCAAAAATGAAAGTGTGGCTTACTAAAAAGTGAAAAATTTTAATGCCAAATAAACCTATGTAACTATCCACACATGTACCTATTCTTGGTGTCTTTCTTTTTGTTTTGTTTTTTCTTTCTTTGCTTTCCTGGGTCTTGTTTATTTTCTTTTTCATAATAGGATTGTATTATGTAACCCAGGCTGGCCCAGACCTTGCTTTGTAGGCCAGGATGGCCTCAAACTCACAATCCTGCCTCAGCCTTCCAAGTGCTAGATTTATGAACATAGGCCAACACACCCAACCAGCATCTGCTTCAACACATTTACACCCGTGTTTCTATAAGTAAATGACAGGGATCAATTCATCTGTGTTACCATTGATCACTACTTGTCGTTGCCTCTAGTAAAGTCTGATAGGCAAGCTCCATTAACTTCTTCACAGACTCGCTGATGCGGCACGTGGGTAAAGAAAAGGAATGTGGGTCCAGTGACGTTTCAGGCTCCAGGTTCCCAGTGTCGCTGAACTGCATTTTGCACACCTTCTGCACCTGTAGCTTGTTATCCACATCAGGGCTGGGTAAGTCTGGTATAGCTTCCTTAGAATCAGGGGTGATCTAAGATTCAAACACAGCAACCGGAAAATTCCAAGTCAAGCACACAGCAGAGGATAAAGACACTCGAGGTTTCCATGGTGACACAAAGCTGTGGCCCTAGAGTGACTAGCAGACCTGCAAGGAAGCAGGCTGATTTAAAGACTGTTTGATCTTGACTGACAGCACATGGGAAGAAGTTAGCAATCTCATGATATACTGTGGGATTCTTAATATTGATGGAAAAGCAAAGATTTGGAGTAACTGAAAAGACCTGAAAAACTCATTATTCTCAGGTCTCATAAAAATACCAAGTTAACTCGAAATGGGTTAATACCTGTGTACTTCAATACTTTGTTGGAAAGGACACAATAACGGGACACACCAAGGGAAATGAGGTATGCAGAAGAAAGGACTAAGAGTCCAGAGCCTGAGCTGGGTATGGTGGACACCTTTAACCCCAGCACTTAGGAAGCAGAGAAGACAGTTCTCCATGTTCAAGATCAGCCTGGTCTATATAATGAGGTCTTTTTTTCTTTTTTTCTTTTCTTTTTTTTTTTTTTTTTTTGAGACAAGATCCCTCTGTGTAGCCCTGGCTCTCCTGGAACTCACTCTATAGACCAGGCTAGCCTTGAACTCACAGAGATCCACCTGCCTCTTCCTCCCAAGTGCTGGGATTAAAGGCGTGTGTCACCATTGCCAGGCTATGTAACAAGTTCTATGCCAGCCAGGGCTACACAGTTGAGACCCTGCCCTCAAAAAAAGAAAAGAGAATGGAGTTGAGAATCCTCACTGCCATTTCAAGCAACTCAGAAAAATAGCTGGGAAATCTATTAATAGATTGCCTTAGTCTATGTTTTAGTAATGTTCAGAATGTTTCAGTAACACTTTGCATTTACCAAATGTTATTAAATATATATATATGTATGTGTGTATATAATATATATATTATATATACATGATATAAAACAAAATGGCCCAGAATTATCAATAGAGTAAACTATTCTTCATGTAAGTTAGTTCACTCCCATTGCAAGTATTTATTTATACCTCTAAAAGGTATTTATTTTATTCTTATTTATGTGTGTGCATGCACACACGTGGGCATGCATGAGTGTGCAGGTGCCCATGGAAGCAAGAAGTGAACATCTTACAACAGGCCACACTCTCTATACATAATTCAGTCCAAGCACACACATCTTCACGTAATGGAGATGAGATAATCTGCTTTTTAATTTCAACAACAGCAATCCACTACATTTATACAGGCTTTCTCAGTTTACAGTCACTTTCAAGTACGTATTTTATCTGGAGCTCACAATAATCCAAGAAAAGGGAGATAGCAGGAGCATTTTAAAGAGGACCATTTGTCTCCACGAGTTCAGGACCTGCTACTCCTTTCTATTTTATCATATGTGTCTCAAAATTAAGGTGCTTTGTATAAGCAATGCAGTAATCCCCAAGTACCTTCACAGTGTTGTGAATTTCAGAGGTCATTAGGTTTCTAGCTGCCACAATCACATCCTGGCACTTCTTATTAGCAAAATGAGAATTGATATTCCGAGCATATTTCAGCAAGTCGGTAGTATCGCCTTTTAAAAATCTCATCTCCTTCAGGGACTTCTCAAATTCTTCAGTGGACTGTATGATCTGACAGAGACAATATGAGACAGAGAAGAGAATTATATACAGTTATCCCTCTGTGTGCTTTGGGAATTAGTTCCAGAACACCACTCAGAAATTACAATCTGTGGATGGTCAAATCCTCTGTGTGAAAAGGCACACTGTTTACAACCTGTGTACACCCTCCCATATACCTAAATCACCTCTAGATTATAGTACTTCAAACAGTATATATACTATGTAAATAGACATCATAGTCCACTGTTTCAGGAAAAATGACGAGAAGAACTGTCTTATCTAGTAAAGAAGCAAATTTTCCCCCCAAATATTATCAGTCAACAGTCGGGCTAAACCTACAGACACAAATCTATAAAAGGATCAACATGTACATACATTTTAATACCAAAATTTGAACTCACTGTAATGAAAAGAGTAAGAACCAAGACGGCCATTTAGATCATAGGACAAGTCATCAATTACTTGGTTTTAAAAATATATATCCCAGGAGATGGAGAGATGGCTCAGCAGGTAAGAGCAATTGCTGCTCTTGCAGAAGACCAGGGTTCAATTCCCAGCACTCACATGGTAGCTCCCAACCACCTGTAAATCCAGTTTCAGAGGATTTGATGCCCCTTCCTGATCTCCACAGGTAGCAGGTATATGGTGTACATACATACACTCAGGGAAAACAGACACATCCATCTTTTTAAAGAATTAAAATTAAAAATAAATTTTAATTATATATTCTTCCAATCCTAGATTCATTTGGAAAAGAATTTTCAATAGAATTATAAGACTGATAAAGGTATCAAGATCTGGACTGAAGAGATGGCTCAGCGGTTAAGAGCACTGGCTGCTCTTCCAAAGGTCCTGAGTTCAATTCCCAGCAACAACATGGTGGCTCTCACAACCATCTATAATGAAATATGGTGCCCCTTCTGGCCTGCAGGCATACATGCAGACAGAACACTGTATACATAATAAATAACTCTTTAAAAAAAACAGGTATCAAGATCTTACAGTTAAACACCCCTATTTTAGCATTCAAGCAAGTACTAAAAAGGGGGTTAAAGGTACTACACAATAGCTATTGCAGTTGATATACGGATCAAATTAAAAAGGTATATATAAGAAAGTATACTTCTTCAATCAAAGAGACAGAGTAGAAAGCAATTATGTAGAATTTGTTATTTCTACTCCCTATTAATGGTTTTCTTAAGAGCATAACTTAAGTCAGGCATTGGTGGCTCACACCTTTAATCCCAACATTCAGGAGGCAGAGGCAGGTGGATCTCTGTGAGTTTGAGACCAGCCTGGTCTACAGAGAGAGTTCCAGGACAGCCAAGGCTACACAGAGAAACCCTGACTTGAAAAACCAAAAATGAAAACAGAAAAGAAAAGGGAAAAAGAGTATAACTTAAGAACAAAAGATCCTAAAGAAAACACAAGACAGTGGCAGGACTCAGTCCTGTCTGAAAGCCCATTAGCTCTCTACTCTTTACCTCCTCGTATTGCTGTAGCTTGCTGCTATTTGTGGGAATCGAATAAACCAAGCAGTTTCTGATGAGGCACTCAGACAGGTCCTCCCAGATCACATCACCAAGCATCTCAGCCAACAGGATCTCAGGGGCTTTTCCATTTTCTAGGTCTGTGTCAAGAGGCAAATCTGAACCCAAAAGAAAAGGTTTTAGACAAACTATTCACAGTTCCGACAAATTCTTAAGTTCCTGAGTTTTCTAAAATGATTAAGTTTTAAGATGATGGGCAGAGCAAGTTCCAGGATGGCCAGGGCTGCACAGAGAAAACTAAATAAAATAGAAGGATGGTGGGAAAGAAAATGGTGCAGGTAATTCTACAGCTACCTCAACAGGCTGCACACGACAATGCACGACATAAAATCATGATTATTTTCCTTGCACGGCTCAGATGAATCCTGCTCACTGCAGCACTCCTGCACTCTGTAACAATGTGTGTTATGCTGTCTACACTATAGCCATCTACCCAGAAGCCATCACTCTGCTTGTAACAAGCACCCTGAAAGTATGCATTCAAAGTTAAAACTCATTTTTAATAAAACTTTACTTCGTTTTAATAATAAAAAACAAGAGAAAGAAAGAACACTGTACTTTTCCATCACTTGTATAAGATTTGGGAATTCATTCTAAGCAAAATATCAGTAAATTACACTAGAACATACTGTCTAATCTACCAAGCACAGTATCCTAGCATCTCCTCTACAGTTTATCTCATGGTTAGTTTTTTCAAAATACCTGGGGAACATTATATTTAGAATACCATATTTATCATTTGGATAACAGTTAAGAGCCAACTGAATGGCTCAGTGGGTAAAGCTGCTTACCACATAAGCTTAGTGACCTACGTTCAATTCCCACAACATACACGTTAGGAGAGAACTGACTCCCACCAAGTTGTCTTCCAATGTCCACACTCACACTGTGGTTAATAAACAAATATAATGCTGGGCAGTGGTGGCACACACCTTTAATCCCAGCACTCAGGAGGCAGAGGCAGGAGGATCTCTGTAAGTTAGAGGCCAGCCTGGTCCACAGAGTGAGATCCAGGACAGCCAGGGCTAAATAGAGAAACCTTGCCTTAACAAATGAATGAATGAATGAATAAACAAATAAATAAGTAAATAATGAATGAATGAATAAATAAATAAATGAATGAATAAATGAATGAATAAATAAATAAATAAAGGAAAGGAGGAAAAAGCCAGGATGTTGGTGCTTCCTTTTAGACTCCATTGCAGCTTTCTTTTTTTTTTTTAAAGATTTATTTATTTATTATGTATACAGTATTCTGCCTGTATGTGTCCCTGCAGGCCAGAAGAGGGTGCCAGATCTCATTACAGATGGTTGTGAGCTACCATGTGGCTGCTGGGAATTGAACTCATGACCTCCGGAAGAGCAGTCAGTGCTCTTAACCACCGAGCCATCTCTCCAGCCCTTTCCAGCCCCCCCGCTTTTTTTTTTCAGCTTTCTTCTGAAACAGAATGAAAAGTGAAGCCATTACAGACATTAAAAAAAACATTTCAAGCCAGGCAGTGGTAGAGCACACTTTTAATCCCAGTACTCAGGAGGCAGAGGCAGGCAGATCTCTGTGAGTTCAAGGCCAGCCTGGTCTACAGAGCAAGTTTCAGGACAGCCAGGACTGCTACACAGAGAAAGCCTGTCGGGGTTCGGTGGGGGGGGGGGGGGGGGGGGGGGGGGGGGGGGGGGGGGGGGGGGGGGGTCAGTTTATATACATGCTAACACTACAAATTATCTCTGGTTTATAGAAGACAACAAACAGAACGATGCTGTGCTCTTTGCCAATGCTCATGAGTTACAGGAAGGCTAACTGCACCATTAGTAGTGTGTTTTCACTGAAATAAAAGGAAATGCTTGCTAAAAATTCAAATAATCAAAAATGAGAATGTGGATTTGGGAGAGGGGTGTAATGCAGAATGAAACAGGCAGGATCTTACTCTATAGGCCAGGCTAGCCTGGAAGTCATGGTGATCCTCCTGCCTCGGACTCCTGGGTGCTGACAGTACAAGCTTGAAGCACCACGCTACACTATATTTCTCACTGATCTCACATAAAAAGAAGGGTGTTGTCACCTGTCACTTGCTAAGGACCTGTGTCCCCACAGAGTTTTAAGTTGCAGGCCTAACTGCCAACATGAAGGTGTTGGGAAACAGAGTCAGCAACTGACAAGATGAGGCAGGAAGATTACTGGCCTAGTCTAGGATACAGAGTAAGTTCCAGACCAGACCGTGAGACTCTTGTCTCAAAGAAAACCAAACCAAAACAACAAAAGTGCATTTCTTCTTAAGAATCAAGAGGAAGAAAATCTACGTTGAGAGATGGATATGGCAGCACACACCTGTGATGCGGCCTTGGGAGGCTGAGGCAGGACCGTGGGTTTGAAGTGTTCTGCTTCTATCAAAGTTACACAGACGATTTCTTACTTATGTCTAAATCACTTATACAAAAATAAATAGTTTATGATTGTTAGGAAGGCCCGACGAATAGTAACATTTTTAAAGTTTAAAAACTTTCTTCAAAAGAATGTTGGCTGGAACATTCCACAGGACTACTGAAGAAGGCAAGAAGAACCTAAGTCAAACAGACCAGAAATAGCAGCACTGTTTCAAAACACCGGAAGAAACTTTGGTTTTTTAAGACAGGGTTTTCTCTGTGTAGCCCTGACTGTCCTGGAACTCACTCTGTAGACCAGACTGTTCTCAAACTCAGAGATTTGCCTACCTCTGCCTCCCAAGTGCTGGGATTAAAGGTGTGGGCTACCACTGCCTGGCTCAGAAGAAAAATTTTTTTTTTTTAGTTTTTCGAGACAGGGTTTCTCTGTGTAGTTTTGGTGCCTGTCCTGGATCTTGCTCTGTAGACCATATAGAGGAGAAAAACCTGGTTCACAGTAAAACACAAAAACAGGCTATTTCCGATGTAAAGATTACCAAGAGGCCAAGTGAAAACATAATTTCTTCCTGATATTACTACTCATTTATTTACATCAGATAAATCGAGATTTTCCCATGGAAATATGTACAACAGTACCTGGCTGATTTTTCCAACAACTAAGGCAGAGTCCCAAACTATGATGTTACCAGAAGTCCAGTAGAAGTATATCCTAAACTGTGGGAGCCCACAGAGGTTTCCTAGTGAGATCTGAGCTTGCTTTACCAGCAGGACTGCATAAGAGGATGATTTGATCACGGGTCTGTGTAGTGGGTGTTTGGAAGGGTCTACACTTGGTTGTATCTAACAAGGGGGAGGTCTTTTGCTTCACCCTTTGACATTGTTATAAAAAGCCTTTTGAATAAAGTTCTAGGCCGGTGGATAAGGATCCAGGCCCTCCCGAGGCTATCCTGTGTTTCTGTCTTTTTCTCTCCCCTCTATCCTTCTATCTAAATCTCTTATCCCTCTCTCCTCAAGAGTACCCAGGTAAAGGTAGGGGCTGGTCCCCCACACTGGACTCCAGCTAAAATACCATTAAAGCACGGGGTCTGAGATATCACTAATGACCCAACTTGCTAATACAGGGCAAAGAGAAGAACTGTAAAGTGGGTAAGAACTCAGAAGGGATGTACTATGCTTCTGTGGCGTAACATAGCCCAGATCCTCTCCTTCACTGGACTCTACCAGCACTTTTGCCCTAATGGTAATACTTGTAAAAGCAGTATGCACATTTCCAGATTATAAAAGGCCACTTTGGGGTACAGACCTAGAAGCTGTTTCTGGAGCTCTTCCAGGACTAATCGAATCTTTGCAAAAGCTTCAGGTGGTGATGGATGCTCCAAGTCTGTCGTCAGAGACTGAAAGCGAATGGTAACTGAATCCGGCTGCTTTTCAATCACAGCATGGAGTGATGGGCAAGTCACCAGAGGTTTAAGCATATACTTCAGCAGCATCTGACCTGAAATCAATACCATGAAAACAATCAACAACTACTACAGAACAGGGAAAACGATGCAAATATCACTACTCATACATGAAGTTTCCAAAGAGTAAAGAAATAGAAAAGAATAAGACATTGTCTCAAAAAAATAAAAAATAAAAATTTAAAAATCAGGGGCTAAAGAGATGGCTAAGTAGTTAAGAGAATTTCTTATTCTTGCATAGGACCCAGGTTTCATTCTCAACACCCACAAGGTGGTTCACAACCATGATTCCAGTTGCAGGGGATCTGATGTTCTCTCCTAACCTCCACAGGAACCAGACATACCCGTGGTGCACAGACATACATACAAGCAAAACCCCATATATAAAATAAAAAAATCTAAACATAAAATTTGTTTAAAAATCATCACTAGAGGAAATTTCTTTTTTTTTTTTTTTTAAAGATTTATTTATATATTATGTATACAATGTTCTGTCTGCATGTATCCCTGCCCATCAGAAGAGGGCGCCAGATCTCATTACAGGAGGCTGTGAGCCATGTGGTTGCTGGGATTTGAACTCAGGACCTCTGGAAGAGCAATCAGTGCTCTTAACCTCTGAGCCATCTCTCCAGCCCCTAGAGGAAATTTCTAAAGCATAAATGCACCAAAAATATATATCTTGAGGACCAGGGAGATGGCTCAAGGGTTAAGAGTACTGGCTGCTCTTGCAAAGGACCCAGGTTCAGTTCCCAGCTCTCACATGACAACTGGCAACTGCCTTTAACTCCAGTTCATGGGGAAATCTAACGCCTTCCATGGACACAACATATACATGGAGTATCTATATATATATAAGCAGGCAAACTACCCAAACACATAAACTAAATAAGTAAATCTCAAAAACAAAATATACCTATGAAATTACATACTATAAGTTTTCTCAGAGAATCTTTCCTACCTGTAGACTTTTAAGTTATTCAAAAATAATAATTATAAAAATTAAGAACTAGTTTTTAAAAAGGACCCATTCATTACTAAAAAAGATATTTATGACCAGTCCCTTTGATGCAGTGGTTCTCAACCTGTGGGTCGCAACCCCTTAGAGGGTCACATATCAGATATCTTGCATATCAGATATTTACATTACAATTCATAACAGTAGCAACATTACAGTTGTGAAGTAGCAACAAAATATTTGTATGGTTGGGGTCACCATAACATGAGAAACTATCAATGGGTCACGGTGTTAGGAAGGTTGAGAACAGCGGCTCTGACGGACCACTAATATTCTCCTTAGAAGTTTATCATCTCTTTGGTCATCCCTTTCACACTAGGCCTTCTGAAATTTAATGGGAATGAAACAAATCATTTACCAAATGATTTCAGCTTGGTGGGTAATTCTCCAAGAATGGAAAATGCCAAGAGGACAGAGCTGATGGATGGCAGAGGGGCCACCTCCTCCTTCTGGGGCTGTTCAGTGCAGAAATGAAGCTCTGTTTGTAGGCAAGATTCTAAGCTGCTGGTATCTGAGAAAAGGAAGAGAATATCAGTTGTCTCAGCAATGCAAGGTGATCATCTCCTCAAACTTTAGGTTCCTGAAATTGTTAGATTCCTAAAAGTTTCATTAGAACATACTTATGATACGATTAAGTATGATATGCATGACCTATGCACTGCTTCCAAACCGAAGACGCTATTTTTTGGGGGGGGGGTATGTCCTAAAAAATCAAATTAAGTGCAAAAAAGATGATATGCCAGTAAGACATGCTACCTAAATGTGTGCAAAATGACTAAAGAAGCAAGGACTGTAAAGGGAGCTCTTGGTTCCCAGACCTTCCACACACCAGTGCCACCAAACCTGCTGAACAGGTCTAATAAGCAGAGTGTTACTAGAAGAGTTCAACGCACCTCAGCTGCAGTCTACCTGAGAATCCCATCGAAAACTTTCTGTATCACTTCTTTCAAAATACCAGATCATATATAAAATGTAACACACGGAAGTGGAGGCAAAATGGATACAGGAAGCAGAGCAGGAGTTTCTGGGATTTACTCTGAAATACACTAAATATCAAAATCCAACACAGAAAATGTATGTCCTTTACAAACCCCTTCCTAGGTTTCATTCTAAGGCAAATAATTTAGAATGTGAGCTCACTCTCAGGAATGAGAAGAGAAAGAGAAGGGAATGAGGAGTGAATATGATCAAAATCTATTAGCTACATTGTAAAAATATCATCATGATATTATGTACAATATATGCTAATCAAAAAAACGAAAAACAAAAAACCTGTGAAAAAGGCCGGGCAGTGGTGGTACAAGCCTTTAATCCCAGCACTGGGAGGCAGAGCCAGGAGGATCTCTGTGAGTTCGAGGCCAGCCTGGTCTACAGAGAGAGTTCCAGGACAGGCTCCAAAACTACACAGAGAAACCCTGTCTCGAAAAACCAAAAAAAAAACCTGTGAAAAGGGAGATCACACTAAGAGGTAGGTTGGAAGATTAATAAATGAAATTCAGAAAAACTAATAGATTAATATCATCAGTAAGTGAAATAGTTTGGTTTTTTAATACTAAATATTTAGGATGTATTCAGAGGCCAAAATGGTTCAGGCAGATTAAGCAAAGCAGTCCACCTGAGGTCAGCAGCACCTTTTGACGGCGGAAACTTCCATACAATCAGCTTCTGCCACTCTTCTCCGAGGTGGTAAAGGATGTTCTGCTTCTGGACAGTAAGCTCCATGCTGAGAGACTTCAACATTTTCAAGTCAAAGCATTTTCTGGATTTTAATAACTTCAAGCATTCCTGTGCCTGGTAGTAAAATGGAATCACTGTTAACATTTCCTCGAGATTCACAAAAAAACTAGAACCTACTTGTTGAACGACAAAGGACCAAAGGACACAAATGAACACATCAAAAGCGAGACCAGCACTAGCGGCTCCGACTTCAAAGAGCGCATATGTACCTCCTCCAGGTGCTGAGCAGCAGGGATGTATTTCTTCTTTGCTAATGCACTATTATACTCTTCAATAGCAGAAGAAAACTGAAAAAGGGATAAGTTTAGATTAGCAGGCATTTTCATTTCCAGGTCTTATATTTTAAATGTCTGCTTGTAAAATGTGAAAACACCACTTTGTCAGGAACCAATCAGAAAAAGAGACAGCCTCCTCAGCAGCCAAACACCAACGTTCCAGCTGAGCTTACTTGCCTCTTGCAGTTGTTTGAGCAAATCCAGGACTACAGAGTCTCTCTCCAGCTGCTGCTTCAAGCTTGTAAATTCAGCAGTCGATATGTGAAGATCTCGACGGACCTAATTCATACATCAAAAGTGTAAGTACTTTTAAGTCATACCACATCAAAGGAATACAACACACGTAACTTATCACTAAGCTTTAGTAGCACAGTGTAATTCATGTTGAAATTTAAACAGCTCAGACAAATAACAACACTGAAGGTGATTAGGAGGGACTGTAAAGGTCCACTTAGTTCAAAGCCTTACCCTATACAAGAACATCTATTCTCAGGTCGACGAGATAGCTCAATGGGTAAAGATTTTTGCCACCAACCCCGATGACCTGAGCTTGAGTAGCAAGCATATAACACACAAAACAAATAAACAAAAATCAATAAGGAATACCCATTCTCAGGACAGGATCTCACAATACAGCCCTGGCTAGCCTGGAACTCATTATATAGACCAGGTTGGTCTCCAACTCACAGAGATGTGACTGTGAGTCATCACCTTCTCTTAAGGTAAGTAGTGTCTTTCAGTAGAGAGTTCATCCACTTGGATTACTAGAAAGGCATCCCCATTGACAAGTGATTGTTTTGTTTTGTTTGTTTTTCCGAGACAGGGTTCCTCTGTGTAGTTTTGGTGCCTGTTCTGTGTAGCTAGAGTTTTCCTGCCTGGCCCACAGTCAGGACAAATCTCTCTCACCTGCCAGTCCCACAGCCACTCAGACCTGACCAAGTAAACACAGAGACTTATATTGCTTACAAACTGTATGGCCGTGCCAGGCTTCTTGCTAACTGTTCTTATGTCTTAAATTAATCCATTTCTATTAATCTATACCTTGCCACATGGCTTGTGGCTTACCCGCATCTTCACATGCTGTTTGTCATCGGGGCAACTGGCAGTGTCTCTGATTCAGCCTTCCACTTCCCAGCTTTATTCTCCTCCTTGCCCTGCCTATACTTCCTGCCTGGCCACTGGCCAATTAGGGATTTATTTATTGACCAATCAGCAACACACTTGACATATAGACCATCCCACAGCAGTCCTGGAACTTGCTCTGTAGACCAGGCTGGCCTCAAACTCACAGAGTTCCGCCTGGCTCTGCCTCCCGAGTGCTGGGATTAAAGGCGTGAGCCACCACTGGGCGACAAGTGATTGTTTTTAATGTTGAGACAGAACCCACTTCAATCTATTCCACTGTTTCAGGGCATCATTAATTCTCTCTCTCCTGTGTTTTAACTTCGGCCTACCTCATTCTTCATTCATGCATGAAATAAGTAACTGAGCACCTACAGCTGCATGGGAAGCTCCTCCCTCATTCTATTCCACTGTTTCAGGGCATCATTAATTCTCTCTCTCCTGTGTTTTCCCTACCTCATTCTTCATTCATGCATGAAACAAGTAACTGAGCACCTACAGCTCATGGGAAGCTCCTCCCACCAGATTTCAATATGTTGAATTTCCCACACCTTTGGAAAGAATTCCCTCCACTTGAACAACCACCCTATTTCTCAGCAGTTGCCTTCTTCCTCTCCCCCTTCACCACATAAGCTTTTGCTAACTGACATTTATGCTGTCTTAATTCCTCATCTCAGTCACTCTACACCTCGCTGTAACGAAGGTTTTAGCTCCACCAGTTCATCAATATTGTCCTTGTCAAAAACACCATTTTTCAGCCGGGGGGTAAGGGGGGTGGGGGGTGTACGCACCTTTAATCTCAACACTTGGGAGGCTACACAGAGACCTTGACTCACTCACTCAAAAAAAAAAAGCACCAATTTTTCACTGCTCAAACAAAGCCTGTTTCATCAATACCAAACTAACACACCTCTTCTTCCCTCCCCCTTCCCTCTCCCTTGTTCCATGATCCATTCTCTACTGATCTTCCTCAGTTCTCTAAAATATCTGGCCATGTCTGGAGACATTTTTTGACTGCCACACTGAAAGAGGGCTGGCATCTAGTGAAGAGAGCAAATTTTACAGAAGGCCCAATTCAAGAAAAATCATCTGACACTTAAAGGTCTTGAGGCCAGCTGCAGATCTAAGAGAATGCTATAAAAGATGAAAGCGTGGTTGTGCACAGCGACACAAGCCTCTAGTCTCTAATCATAGCTTCTGGAGAAGAGGAAGCTGGAGCATTCCAAGTGCAAGGCCAGCCTGGGCTACACAGTGAGCTCCAGGCCAGCCTGAGTTGCACAGAAAGACCCTGTCTCAACAAGAGAGAGGGAGGAACAAACATTCTAACTAGGAAAAGACCAAAGACCAAAGGAACTAGTTCCAAGCATTATCTGTTTTCATTCAAATGAAGTCCTCAGACTTTCTTTAATTAAAAAATCCACTCAAATATAAGACATTATTATCCTCACTAAAAGAAAACGCACCACAAGAGGAAGACTATATGATTCTAAGTTTGAGACACAGTTCTAATTAGAACTGAGGTCATCCTACAATCATTTGGCTCAATCTCTATTTACCAATAAGGAAATTAAGGCCCTGAAATGTTCCACAGAATAGTTTTAGAAATCAAGAAGCTAAAAGAATAATGCCTCCCTATATAGCAGGGGGGACCCTAGGATGACTGTGGCTTATAAGTTTTGATTTTACTCAATTACTGAGCAAGCCTCAATAAAACATTTCACTATTAAGATAAGAATTTATACTGTATCAAGCTGATAATAGAAAAATAAATAAATTTAAAAAAAATAAATAATGCCTCCCGAAGAAACCTAAACTTACCCAACACAACAATCTATTCTTACCTCACTCTCTATCCTGGATTTCAGCTGGTCGATGTCATTAGATAGCTTGTCCACCTGGGTAACCAGGTCCTGTGCACTCTGCATGGTAGGCAGGAATTCACTGTACTTCTTGCTGATCATATTGCACACCTCACCCTATAATACAAGATAGAGGAAGTGTATGACAATGAAATGAATTAGGAACTTCATAAAAATATACAGCATCTTACAATGTTAGAACTTTATCTAGTTACCCACAGCTTTCCCTCCAAGCAATGTGTTTCCTTCAAAAACATTTCATTCATCCTTAAGGGTCCCATACATTATTAAAATGTAGAAAGACAACAATTATCAAACCCCAACAATGCTCAAGATTTGTACAGACTCTAGAAATGAGAAAGATGGAGTCAAAAGTTTCACAATGAACTGTATCTGTGTTCAAAAAATTTAATCATCTACCTAAACATACATATCCATAATCTGTATACCTTAATTTACTAATTTCCATCTTCTGGATAACAAATTTTTAAGAGATAATCTTAAAGCTCTTCAAATGATTAGAAGGACTGGGGAGATGGCTCAGACAGTAAAAGCACTTGCCACCAAAGATGACCCGAGTTCAATTCCTGGGATCCACACGGTAAAAGGAAAAAAACTGACTCCCAGAAGTTGTCCTCTGACCTCCACACACGCACCATGGCGTACACGCACCCACAGACACACACACATAAATAAATAAAAAATTTAAGCCGGGCAGTGGTGGCACACGCCTTTAATCCCAGCACTCGGGAGGCAGAGGCAGGTGGATCTTTGTGAGTTCGAGGCCAGCCAGGTCTACAGAGCGAGATCCAGGAAAGGCGCAAAGCTACACAGAAAAACCCTGCCTGGAGAAAAAACCCAACCCCCTCCCCCCAAAAAAAAATTTAAAAAGGATTGAGTCTTGTTATTTCCCTTAATTCAAGGCAACTTAATGTCTTCTTGAAAACTGCACTGAGTAAATTATGCTTGCCCATAAACTAATTCTTTTTAGGGAGGAAAGATTCTATTTTCCAACCTGACCAAAATACAGGGCTGAAATTGCAATACTCCAGCAGAGTTACAAAGTATTCCAGTACAATGAGAAAGACTATCTCTCAGGAAAAAAAAAATCAGGCATCTGCTTTATTCAGGAGGTTACATTTGAGATGGAAGATTATATATATATATATAAGAAATACATTGAAAGAGTTAAAAAAATGGAGAAATGGCAAAATATGGGATATGGGAGCTGGGGGTGCGGGAAATATGCTTATCTGAAGCACAGAAAGTAGTTCTCAGTTGACTTAAGACTCAAGTTTATGTATAAAAACTAATAGGAAAAGTCGGCTCTGAGTGCAATGTTCTCTTCCTAGGTCATTAAAAAGGTCATTTAAAAAAAAAAAAAAAGCTTAAGCCACATTACAGAGATGCTATTGGCAAGAACACCTAAAATTAAGAAAGCCATTTTTTGTGTCAACCACTGTTGTTAGGACGCTAGCTCCCTGAAGTCCAGACTTACTCAGGGACACGTCATTTTAAATGAAAGCCACTGAAGATGTGGCTTGCCAGGTAACACCAATACGAAGTGAAACTGTGGCTGTGTGCTGCAAATCCATGCAGGCACAAGATATGCTCACCAGTACTTAGCATGCCTCAAGTTCCGTACGTGAATTTAGACTTTTATAAACATATTCAACCGGTTAAAAAAAATCCGAGGATGACGCCACAATTTTCCTAGAATTATTACATTCATCCATAAATGAAAGAGTGGGTGGAGATGAGCAGCCAGATAGGGTGGCTCGTCCTGTCCTCTCTCCCAGCCCTCTCTGGACATCCGGGCTTCCAGTCCCACCTCCGGCTCCGCTGGTTTCTTCAGTCGGCTTCATCCCAGTTCACTCTTGCTCAACTTATCACGACTCCCCACCACTGCACAGCCACGGCCCCTTCCTCCTCACAGTCCCAGGCCTTGGTGGCCGCTCTCTAAGCAGTCCCCACACTTCTCTCGCCTCCGACTCAGGGTTCTCCCCATTAGTTCCGCACCCGGATCTCCCCAGCTGCAGCCGGCCGCCGGTGGCCCGCCCTCACCTTGATCTCCTCCACCCGCCGGGTCAGGCGGCTGATTCGAGTGCCGAGATCCTCCTTCTCCAAGCTCCCCGAGTGAGCCAGGACTTCCGTCACGAAAGAAGCCATCGCCACGAAATGTACCTACACCGACCAGGTTACTCCAGCTGCCAGCGCCGCAGCTCGCGTCCCGCCCGCGGCCTCACCGCGTGGCCTGCCGGGAAACTGAGTCCTGTGGGGCCCCGCGCTCCAGCACAGGCGAGAGCCACACTACAGTTCCCAGCAGGCCCCGCGACTCCTGGCATTGGGTGTTTCGGCAGCGTCTGGGAGCCCCAAGACTGCGCAGGCGTGATCTGTTTACTGGTTTTCAAACGTCTTGTCTCTTCCCGCCGGTTTTTTGTTGTTTTTTTGTTTGGTGTGTTTTGTTTGCACTAGAAGCTGCGGAATGTTTCACCTAGTAAATCTTTTATGAAACTCCCTATACTCCATAACGTTTTCCTGTGAAATGATCTACCCAGATACTTAGGGAGTCATCTCGCTCTTTTTTGTTAAATATTCATTCATTGGGCGCAGCAGCTGACTTGAGTCTACTGCGAATTTTGCCCTCTGGAGTTGCGCGGGCAGGAAAGCGGTATCACATCTCATTATTAGAGAAACCTTCCCCGCAATTGCAAGCAATATATATATAGCTTATGTTGTCTCCTACTAAGTATACTCATGCATGGATGCGGTACCCATTTATACTTAGGGTAACGGTCCTGTGTGTTCCTTTGTAAGAAAAAAAAACTTTTTTTCTTAGGATTTGTATGTTTGAAGCCGACATAGTGGTGCAGGAGGATCTCTGTGACTTCGAGGCCAGCCTGGACTACACAGAAAAACCCTGTCTCGAAAAACCAAAACCAAACAAACAAACCAAAAGACTTATATGTATGAATGGTTTGACTGTGCCCACGAAAGTCAGAAGGAGGAAACAGATACCCTGAAACTGGACTTATAGATGGTTATGAGTCACCATGTGGATGGTGGGAGTTGAACCCAGATCCTCCATAAGAGCAACCAGTGCTTTTAACCACTGACTAAGCCATCTCTCCAGCCCCTAAAACAAGATTCTCTTAGCACTTCCTATCAGAGATTACAAACAAATTACAGCAAAAGTTTTTTTTTGTTTTTTTTTTAAATACAGGGTTTCTTTTTTTTTTTTTTTTTTTTTTTTTTGGTTTTTTTGAGACAGGGTTTCTCTGTGTAGCTTTGCGCCTTTCCTGGAACTCGCTTTGGAGACCAGGCTGGCCTCGAACTCACAGAGATCCGCCTGGCTCTGCCTCCCGAGTGCTGGGATTAAAGGCGTGCGCCACCACCGCCCGGCTCTGTGTAGCTTTGCGCCGGCCTCGAACTCACAGAGATCCGCCTGCCGCTGCCTCCCGAGTGCTGGGATTAAAGAAGTGCACCACCACCACCCGGCACAGCAAAAGCTTTTTGCCAGGTGGTAGTGGTGTGTGCCTTTAATCCCAGCACTCTGCAGGCAGAGGCAGGCAGATCTCTGTGAGTTCGAGGCCAGCCTGGTCTACAGAACGAGATCCAGGACAGGCTCCAAAACTACACAGAGAAACCCTGTCTGGGGGCAGGGTAGGGGGAGTTTTTTTTTTTTTTTTTATTGTTGTTTAGGTTTAAAGTTTTTGGGGATTTATTGGTTTTGATTTGAGATATGGTCTCTAGCCCAGGAGGGCAACAAATTCACGTCTCTCCTCCTGCCTCAGCCTCCTGCATACAGGGATTATACACTTGCTCCACTATGTCCAGATATCAGGAGCTTTTAAAAAATTGTTTCACTATTGAGGGTCTGGAAAGATGGCTCAGTAGAGTACTAGCCTTGTGGAGGACTCATCTTCGGGTCCTACATCAGGTGGCTCAGAACCACCTGTAATTCCAGTTCTAGGGAATTTGATGTCTTCTTTTGACCCCTGAGGGCTCCTGCCCCATACATGATGCACATATATACACTGAGACACATACACATAAAATAAAAGAAATATTAAAAATAATAAACTTGTTTCAATATTGAAATCTATTGCATACTAGAAGATATTCATAATGTATCATATGATTCTTTTTCTAAAAAATAATAATAAAATAGAGGTATAGTCCATGTATGGTGCCACACACCTTTAATCCCAGCACTCATCACTGAGGAGGCAAAGACAGGTGAATATCCGTGAGTTTGAGGCCAGCCTGGTCTACATAGTGAGCTCCAAGCCAGCAGAGCTACAAAGTGAGACCTTGTCTCAAAAACAGAAGTGTGTGTGTGTGAATGCACTGAATTCTTTGGGTGGACTTTAGTGGCTTAGGCTGTTCATTCATGTCTTTTTCTCTGTCTTCTGTTGTTCTGCAATAAACATGTACTGCTTTGATTAAAGCATCTTTCATTCTTTATAAGTTATCATGTGAGACCTGATGTTAAGTAGGTGCTGACCCCCAAGGTCCATGGCAACGACGTGTCTGTACAACAGTCAGCTAGTACTAGTTCATGCTCCATGAGGAAAGAGAAGGAAACCCAGGCTGAGAAAGCAAGTACTCGAGGGTGGCCATATTGTCCTTGGAAAGTATTTCTCACTACAAAACTAAACCAGCCACCGTAGTGGCCCTCTCAGCCTTACTTTGAATTCTAAATGTTGCTAACAATAAATGCCCAGTGACAAAAAAAAAAAAAAGACCTACAGATGAAATTCTGTATTAATAACACTTACTGAGGAATACTATGTGGCAAGTCTGTGCTAGGTTTGGAGACCCCAAAATGCAAATTAAATGCTCACAAGAAAACATAGTAATTATTATTTTCAAAGTAAATGAGAGATAGGAAGGGCATAGTGGGGAAAATTCTTCAGAGAATATAACAAAATTACAAATACAAAATTAAGTTCTGCTTTTGGAGGAGGCTTGTACAAGTAACGAGCCCCGATGCTTAATTACTTCTTGAGAAAATGCAAAGAGCCAGGAAATATGGGGTTGGAGAGATGGCTTGGCAGCACTGGCGGCTCTTCCAGAGGACCTGCATTCAATTCTCAGCGCCCACATGGCAGTTCACAACTGTCCTAACTCCAGTCCCAGGAGACATGATACCCCCTTCTGGTTCCATGGGCACTATACCCATACACATCAAAATAAATAGCCTGGCTCAGAGGCAGGCAGAGGCCTAATCTCTATAGTTCATGGCCAGCCTGGTTTGTGTAATGAGTTTCAGGCCGGGCAAGGGTTACATAGTGAGATCCTGTCTGAAAAAATAAATGAAGCCAGGCGGCGGTGGCACATGCCTTTAATCCCAGCACTCGGGAGGCAGAGCCAGGTGAATCTCTGTGAGTTCGAGGCCAGCCTGGTCTACAGAGCGAGATCCAGGATAGGCACCAAACTACACAGAGAAACCCTGTCTTGAAAAATCAAAAAAAAAAAAAAAGAAAGAAAGAAAAAAGAAATGATTAGTTTTGATTTGCATTTCCCTGATGACTAAAGATGTTAAACATTTCTTTTGTTTGTTTGTTTTGGTTTTGGTTTTAGGTTTTTGAAACAGGGCTTCTCTGTGTAGCTCAGGCTGTCCTGGAACTTGCTCTGTAGAACAGCTTGTCCTTGAACTCAGAGAGATACACCTGCCTCTGTCTGTGGAGTGCTGGGATTAAAAGTGTGCACCACCACCACCACCACCACCACCACCACCACCACCACCACCTGGCCGAACATTTCTTTTAAGTATTTCTCATCCATTTGTGTTTCATTTTTCGAGAACTCTCTGCTTAGTTCTACATCCCATTTTTAAATTTGTTTTCTTGGTGCCCAGGTTTTTTTTTTTCTTTTTCTTTTCCTTTTTTTTTTTAAGTTCTTTTTATATTTTAGATATTAACCCTCTATTGGATGTGCCTAATATAATGGTGTCCTCTATAAATAAATAAAATTTTAAGTTAAACATATAAATAAATAGGATGCAGAACAATAGAAGATGACACCAGACATCAACTTCTGGCCTCCATATACACATGCACATACATGCATATGCTATGCCCACATAGACACACAAAAACGTGAAAAGAGACCACATTGGTCAGACACTTATGACTTTAACATGACCAGTCCCAGGTTTCTTCTGTGTCCTGCCATGAAGACAAGCTCTCAGCCACATGCTGTATCACTGCTGTGGCTGGGGACAGGAACATGAAGTGTCCAAGTCCAAGTCCCTTGGCTCAGGTGCTCCATCTGTCGTCCACCAGCCAGCCAGGAGACCCTGGTAAGTTCCCTAACGTGCTCTACAGTGTGGGGTGAAAATTCAGTGCAAAGCACCCAACCCAAAGCCTGGCATTTAGCCGCACTCAGGAAGTGCAAACCATTTCCCTTCCCATCAGGTCCTGTGGCTTGGAGGCAGCAGGAGACAGAACTGGACGCTGATAGGGTGGGGATGTATTTGCAGCTGCCTCCTTAGCAGCTACAGCACAGCAGAGGGAGCACTTCCCTCCAGGAATGCTCTGAGTCAGGGTAAGCCATCAGGGACATTCACATGGACTGAGGAACATTAATTCTGAAATTAATATTTCTGGGTTTTTTTGTTCACCAAATATCATATGACAAATGTATTAAATGTGTAAAGACACAAATGAAAGAATTAAAAGCTACCCACAAACCTAACATCAATATAACAAATGATTAACATGTTATTTAAAAAACAGAGATTGGGGGAGCTGAAATTTATTTTACACGTACGGGTGTTTTGCAAGATTGTATGTCTGTGCACCGCCTGCACGCCTGCTGCTCAAGGCAGACAGAGAGGGTGGCAGACCCCCTGCACCTGGAGTCACAATAAACAGTTGTGAACTGCCACGTGGGTGGTGAGACTCAAACCCCGGTTCTCTGGAAGAGCAGCCAATTCATGTTCATAACCACTAAACCATGTCTCCAGCCACAAAAGAGAGTTTTTGAAGACAATTAAATTGCGTTCTCTATGAGTTGCACGACCTGGCCCCCTCCTTTCTCAGTTAAGGACTTCAGGCTCCACTCTGCTTCTTGTCTACTATGAGAGGGAACAGCACTTTTCTCACCCCCAACCACCACGTTATGTCATGAAAATTTCCTCTGCAGGCTGAAGAGAGGGCTCCGTGGTTAAGAACACTTGTTCTTACACAAGACCCAGGTCTCCAGTTCTAGGGGATTCAATGACCTCTTATTGCCTCCTGGGGTGCACCTACATACGTGCAGGCAAAACATACACAGATAAATCTTTTTTTTCCCCTCTGGTTTTTCAAGACAGGGTTTCTCTGTGTAGCCCTGGCTATCCTGGAACTCACAGAGATCCGCCTGCCTCTGCCTCCCGAGTGCTGGGACTAAAGACTTGTACCATCACCACCCCGCTAAACTAAATCTTTTTTCTATAGATTTTTTTTTTAAAAGACGGGGTTTAATATAGTGAAGACTGCCCTTGAACTTCCTCCTTGTCTCTGTCTCCTGAATGCTAAGCTCAACCACACCTATTATGTGTTGCTCGTTATGCAACCAAAGGCTTTGTACCCAGAAGCATTCTACCCAGCTAAGTTCCCAACCCCCGACAATATCACTTAAAATTGTTCTGTGCATGGGTGTTGTCTTAGTTAGGGTTTCTATTGCTGTGAAGAGACACCATGACTATGGCAACTCTTTTTTTTAAGTATGTCATATTTTTATTGAAAATATTAGTCTACTATCCTAGCAACCATTTTCACTTATAATGTCAAGTTACATGCTGTAATTAGCCACTCTATGCAATACCTCCAACGCTACACAGGAAACACAGAAATTTTATATAGTTACAGTATTAAAGCCAAATATCTGAAGCTTTCTTTCAAACATAATGTGGGACTAGCTGACACTCTCCATGTCACAGAAAAAGAAAATTAAGCAAAAGATGAATATGAAAACTCTACTTTCCAAAACTTCCCAGTGACCCGAAATATAAGATATATAAACAACTAAGATTTACTTTGGAGATCTCAAATGCTCATTAAATGACTATAATGGACACTGTGGCCATGATGGTATTTTCTAATCATCGGTGCAAGCGATATCCTCAGGATACCTTCAATGTTTCCACTTACAAGAATACCTGCAGGAAGAACTCTTGCTTACACCAAACTAAGGCAGAAAAGAAACAGTATGGTGGTATAATAAGGCTCTAAGACTATGGCAACTCTGATAAAGAAAAACATAAAATTGGGGCTGGCTTATAGTTCAGAGGTTTAGTCCATTATCTTCATAGTGGGAAGCATGGAGGCAGACATGGTGCTGGAGAGGTAGCTGAGAGTTCTACATCTAGATTGACAGGCAGCAGGAAGAGAGACTGACAGTGGGCCTGGTTTGAGCATCTGAAACCTCAAAACCCACTCCCGGTTGCTGTGGGATGTTCTGTATGGCAAACGTGTTGCTCTGATTGGTTAGTAAATAAAACACTGATTGGTCAGTAGTCAGGCAGGAGGAAGTATAGGTGGGACAAGGAAGAGAAGAATTCTGGGAAGTGGAAGGCTGAGTGAGAGACACTGCCAGCCACCGCCCTGACAAGCAGCATGTGAAGATGCCCATAAGCCACGAGCCACGTGGCAAGGTATAGATTTATAGAAATGGATTAATTTAAGTTATAAGAACAGTTAGCAAGAAGTCTGCCACAGCCATACAGTTTGTAAGCAATATAAGTCTGTGTTTACTTGGTTGGGTCTGAGTGGCTGTGGGACTGGTGGGTGACAGAGATTTGTCCTGACTGTGGGTTAGGCAGGAAAACTCTAGTTACACCCAGTGACATACTTCCTCTAACATATACCTCCTAACAGTGCCACTCCCTATGGGCCTATGGGGACCATTTTTATTCAAACCACCACAGGTGTTTTGCCTGTGTATGTGTCTGTGCATCACGTGTGTGCCTGGTGCCTATGGAGGCCAGAAGACGGTGTTGGGATCCCCTGGAACTGTAGTTACAGACAGTTGTCAACTGCCATGTGGGTGCTGGGAATTGAGCCCAGATCCCCTGGAAGAGCAGCCTGCTCTCTTAACTGCTGAGTCATCAAGACCACTTTAAAATGACTGTCTTATAGTAACCAAAACGTATAATTATTAATAAGTTTCAATGGATTTCCTAAAACAAATCTTTCTATATAGCCACCTTAAAAATATATAAATTCTAGTGAGATCTGGGTCAAAGTCTATACACATCTTAAATTTTTAGTTACATTTATTCCTATGTGTGTGCACATGCGTAGAGGTCAGAGGACAACTTGTGGCAGTCAGTTCTCTCCTCTTACAATGTGAGTCCTTGGGCTTGAACTCGGGTTGTCACACTTGGCAGCAGGCACCTTTACCCACTGAGCCATCTTACTTGCCCCATATATTTAAAAGTACACAAATGAAGTCACCTGGTCCTCGGGAAAGATAGTGTCAAGGTATTCTCCAGAACACCATTTGGGTAATCCCAGGGGCCGGGAGGGACTTTGACTTTACAGATGTATTCATCAAATACAGTGACCGCTTACTCTATGGCGATTGGCTTCCCTCATGGGACCCTCCTTCAGAATCCTCCCCACTTCTGATCTTGGCCACGCCTCTAGTCCCAAACATTGACAAATCCCCGACACCCGTCTCAGCTGCTGCATTGAAAACTGACACTGGAGTCCTCTGGAACCCTGAGACCGTCCACTCCAGCCTCCCAGGAAGTCATCCGGGCTCAGCAGTCCCCGGGCTTACATCCCCTTCTGCAGAGGGCACAGCCATGGCCTGGAGTTCCCGTGGGGGAGTCCGGCTTGGAGGTGTGCTCCTCTCTCTTCTTGGCTGGGTATCCTCTTGTGTCACCACCGTTCTTCCCCAGTGGAAGACTCTCAATCTGGACCTGAGTGAAATGGAAACCTGGATCTCGGGACTCTGGGAAGCATGTGTGAGTCAGGAGGAAGCTGGCACTGTTTGCAAAGCCTTCGAGTCCTTTCTGTCTCTGCCCCAGGAGCTACAGGTAGCCCGCATCCTCATGGTGGCTTCTCATGGGCTGGGACTGGTGGGACTTCTGCTCTCTGGCTGGGGGTTGGAATGCTTCCAGTTTCACAGGCCCAGAGGAGTTTTGAAGACACGGCTGTGCCTCCTGGGAGGGGCTTTGGAGGTATCAGCTTCAGCCACCACCCTCTTTCCAGTCTCCTGGGTGGCCTATGCAACATTCCAAGACTTCTGGGATGACAGTATCCCTGAGATTGTGCCGAGGTGGGAGTTCGGAGATGCCTTGTTCCTGGGCTGGGCTGCTGGGCTTTTCTTAGCTCTGGGAGGGCTTCTCCTCATCATCTCTGCTTGCCTGGGAAATGAAGACAGACCTTCTCCCTGGACGGCTGCAGCCACAGCTCCACCAGCGTGTGCTTCAATAGAGGAATTTGATGGTTCCCTCCACCTCACACCAAGACCGGTGAACCAGGTCATCTAGAACTAGAGTCTGTCCGGAAATCTCTACAAGAAAGGAATGTCAGGAGGCTCTTTTCCTTACCCTTCATCGATTTGTTGGAAAGGAGTGGTCACTATCTGATTTGTCAAAGATCTGATTATCTTGGTGATCTGGATTAAGAAATAAAAATCAGGACAGTTCCTTACACACATGTTTATCTCACTTGAAATTTTATTTATACAGAAACGTTTTCAGCTGAGGGTAGTGCTATGTGCTTGTAATTTCAGCACACAGGAAGCTGAAAGAAATGAGAATTAAGGCTAACCTCAGTGCATAGTGAGATCCTGTCTCAAACTTTTAGGAAAAAAAAAAAAGTTGATCATGGTGGCTCTCACTTGTAATGCTAACACTCAGGAAACTGAGTCAAGAGAATTGCCCGAAGCTCAAAGCCAGTCTAGGTTACTGTGTTGGAAAGAAAAAAAAAGAAACAAAACAAAAAAAACCCTCATAGTATTAATTATATAATCACTTTGATTGTTTTATTGTTTAGGAAGATACTTTATATAAAGTTGGAGTCACCAGAGATAAGAGATAGCATATGTTTAGCTAGAAATGTTGATGATGTGTTGGCAAAGAAAAATTATTATTGGCCCACAATGGCCTCTAGCTAGCATGGCACTCCTCAGGTGTGAGATTCCAATCAAAAATCTCTGCTGCTTTTAGATCGCCAGTGTTCCTGAAGGGCACTGCTTTGCTTTGTTTCTGCTACATCATGAGGCTGTGAATGGTCCCAGGTTTCTCACTAAAAGTAATGGTCCCTGCAAGTGAGTAGTAAGGTGCCCAAGCTTTCCCATTTGTCCAGGACTCGGTTTTTCCACCGTGAAAACTAGCAAATTCACAGGCACATTGGGGTCAAACTGGTCACTCTAGGATGGTTGTGCCTATTACCACCCAAGGTGGACTTGTGTGTGCAAAGAATTCTCAACGCCACAAAAATGTTTTCTACCATATGTAAAAAAAAAAAAAAAAAAAAAGCACAAATCTTTTATTAGGGAAGAGGATTTGGCTCAGTTGGCAGAGTACTTGCTTGCCTAGCATACAGGAAGTCCTGGGTTCCATCGCCAGAACTACATTAGAGTGGATGTGATGGTGCATGCCTGTGATTCTACCTAGCATTTGGGAGGTGGAAGCAAGTTCAAGGCCAGCCCAGGCTACTTGAGACCCTGTTAAAGAGAGAGAGGAGGGGTAAAGGGGAGAAGGAGAAAGACAGAGACAGAGACACACAGAAAAAGAGACAGAGTGAGAGACTTTATTGCTATTGTATTATTTGGGGCTGGGGAGATAGTCTAGTTGTTAGAGCATCTGCCTAACATGTAAGACCTTGGATTTGATCCCCAACACTATAAAATGAACACATTTGTCAAAGCAGCCCAAGCCAGTATCCTTTTTCAAAAAGCTATCTTCCCAGGCTGACAAGATGGTTCAGTGACTAAAGGCACTTGCCACCAAGCCTGGTAACTTGAGTTTGATGCCAGAACACACATAAAAGTAAGAGAGAACCGACTCCACAAAGTTGGCCTCCACACACGCGCTGTGCCATATGCATGCACCACTCCTCCAACATCATACACACACAATAATAATAATAAAATTAAGAAAAAAGATGTTTAAAAAAGAAATGGGTGTGGTGATGCATTCCTTGAATGAAGGTGGTCTCTGTCAGTTCAAGGCTAGCCAGGGCTACATAAAGACACCTTGCCTTAGAAAAAAAAGAAAGGAAGGAAGGAAGGACGGACCAACACTCCCTCCCCTAAGGCGTCTGCACAACTCTAACTTCATTTCAACAACTTCTCCCTTCCTGTGGGAAGCAGGTCTCTGGGAATCTGGACTCTCTGGACAGGTTCTTTTCCTTTAGTGTGTGCTCATCTGTGAACCAACACTGATATATACAGAGGCAAACATCAGGAGGAAAAAAACCTCCAATTAGAGTGTGTACACCACAGCTTGTTCTGTCCTCTGGTCAATCAGAAAACTATTTCTGATGACTATTTTTCTCAATAGGTTCAAAGTTTGGTGGGTCAAGTATCAGTAAGAGGTGAGGCTCAAATATCCAAGGATTTCCTGGTCCCTAGAGTATCTGCTTCATAGAACTACCACTCATCCATCTGATCATTTATTCTTTCCTTTAACAAATATTTATAAGCACTTACCATGTTCCAGGTGTTGTGCTGGGAACCAAATGCAAAACAAGACAAACTGTATTCAGGGTCCTCGTTCAAAGAACACAGATGTTAAAATAAAACCACTCAAATCGCCAGGTGGTGGTGGCACACATCTCTAATCCCAGCACTCAAGAGGCACAGGCAGGAGGATCTCTGAGTTCAAAGCCAGCCTGGTCTACAGAGTGAGCTCCAGGACAGCCAGGGCTACACAGAGAAACCCTGTCTTGAAAAACTGGAAGAAAAAAAAAAAAAAGTAAAGCCACTCAAATCAATGTACCACCACACAGTCCAAGAGCACCCAGCAGGAGAGTGAAGTCTTCAGAGCCACAGCTGGGCACCCGGAAGAAGTGCAACCGTTGAAAAGTAGGGGTGGAGTTCAAGCTGAAGAGGGAGAAGAGGATGACAGGGCTGACAATGCAGAAAGGAGTTAGACCTTGCAGCATCCTCGGGGGCATGGTAAAGATGCTGTCACCTCCTTTCTCAGCATCATAGGAAGCCGACCCATCGGGCCTCAGGCCCGCAGAGAACTCAGCCCTCCGACTGCAGCAGTCTCTTGCACAGCCTTTCATAAAGGCTTGTCCCTGTCACACAACTGGCTGGGGCTTAAGAGCTTTTGCGTTCTGGGGAGGTCTTGAACGGTTCTTCCGACTAGAAGAGCAGATGTGGACCTAACTATCCATTTTGTTAACATGGGAGAAATGAGGCAGCAGACCTTCGGCAGCGAGGAGCTAAGTCAAGATTTGACATTAAGGATGCCTCTCTGAAACCCATCCTGTGTTGCCAACACATGGGCACCTACACGGCCCACCACACCCGAGGACTCACACTGAAAATCCTCCTTTACACTGTTTAGCCCCATCAGGGTCTTTGCAGACAGCTGGTTCACCTGTGCCTGCTGTGGCTCCTGGTCCCTCATCTTAATCCCATGTTTGCGGTGTTGATGACCTTTGTCGTCAGCATTCAACTACGGCTTTCTCTACAGAGAAATGGACACCAACTAAAAGTTGTGAGGAAAATAGCCCGCCTTCTCAACTCTCCTTTTGAAGAACACACGGCACAGGCTGATAGGCATGGGCTAAGGAGAGGGGCTGCTGCTTGACATGAACAGCACATTATTATTCCCAGGAGGGACTCGAGCTGCTCAACGGCCTGCCTCCGTGGAGACTGTTCACCAAACACACTGTGATTTTTATCCGTTTTGAGGGCCAAGTGAGAATTAGAAACAGAACTAATTAAATCTTTAGAAAGGACTTTTCTCACAGGCCTGTAAATTGATCTAATTGAAAACACTTCTTGGGCTACTAATGTAGCTCTGTGGCAAACCACTTGCCTGACATTGCTGAGGCCTTGGGTTCAATACCCAGTATGGCTCCCCCCCCCCCAAAAAAAAAACTATTCAGTATCACACAGAAAGATAAAAGTCCACGTTTCATGTCTAAAGCTGTTTGGGGAGGCTGATCTGAATGAAACTCCCTATGTAGCTGAGATGACTTTGAACTGAGCCTCCTTCCAGCACCTCCGGTGTTTTCAGGCTTGAAACCAGATTTACATGCTGCTGGGGATGGAACTCATCCCACCTCACGCATATTTAGCACTCTGGATCAACTACAGAGCCACGGTGGTCTCAGGACCCTGGAGGCTCAGCTTCTAGGATATACTTCTTGTGGCTAAGAAGATAGCAAAGGCCAAGGGTCTGAAAGATGGTCTGTCTTTCATTATATAGCCCTTGCTAATTGCTTCTTCATCTGTTTAATGTATCCACCTTTCTTGAAATACATGGGGTAAAAAATGAGCTTTAATGACTCAACTCTTTTCCCCTTAATTATTTGAAGTGCTAGGACTTGAACACAGGAGGACCCTAAGAAAGCCTGTCAAGTGCTCTAAAACTAAGTCAAACCATCAATTAAGTCTCCTTTTGTTTTCAGTAGACTTTTGTTTGGTCCGCTTTTTGTTTGTTTTTGAGACAGGGTTTCTCTGTGTAGCTCTGGCTGTTGCGGAGCTCAAGGTAGCCACCTGCCTCTGCTTCCCAAGTGCCGGGATTAAAGGCGTGCGCCACCACCACCTGGCAACTAACAGTTCTACAGGGATCTAACAAATTTCCAGTTGACCATATCTCCATGGCACAAACCGAGGTAAAACACTGCAAACACTTCCGTCCTTCCAGTGTTGGCTTCCTCCTCCTCACTTTCACCCTCAGCATTATCCCCAAATCTTTAAAACACTAAACTGAGATGTCACATGCTTCTAAGCTGGCTGCTCTGGAAGCTGAAGCTAGAAGACCCAACTCTGAGGTGAACACAGATCACAGATTCTATCTCAGAGTTAAGAGCCAGTGAGATGCTCTAGTGGGTAAAGACGCTACACAGCCTGAGCTCAATCCTGAAAACCTGCAAAATGGAATGGAAAGCCCCAGCTCTCACAGGGTGTCCTCTGACCTCCATGGGCATGTTATGGCATGTACACACTAGCACAATAAATACAATAAAGAAGTTTACTTATATTAGAAGGATTTTAGGCTAGGAGCAGTAGCTTATACTGTAATCTCAACATGTGAGAAGTGAGGGGGGACTATTGCAAGTTCAGGGCAAGCCTGGGCTACATAGTATGTTCCAGGCCACCCTGGCCCGGGCTACAGAATAAGACCCAGTGTCAAAAAATTTTTTTTAAACTTGAAAGCCAATAAGAGTCCAACAAAACACAGAAACATTCTAAGTCATAGCCTGAGAGCTGTTAGAAAGTTACATGGGGATACATGCCTGTAATCTCAGTATCGGGGGGATAAATACAGTAAAGATCAGCAGTTAGAAGCCAGCCTCTGCTACAAAGAGTTTGAACACAGTCTAGGCTACGTGAGTCTCTCAAAAACAAACATCAACAGCAAAATCTTAGTTTGTGAAGCCCAGTAAGAAACAGGGAAGTAGAAAAGGTAGCCAGCTACAGAAGATTGAGAAACTGTGTCAGCACTCACCTGGTGATCAGGCTGCATCTAAATAATGCAGACTACTCAGTCATTGGGTAGTGTGGGTGGGGTGGGTAGGGAGAGAGAGACAGGGCAAGGCAGGGCTGAGTGGTTAGGAGCACTTGCTAACCCAGTGTTTTTCAAGCTTCCTGACGCTTCAACCCTTGAATACAGTTCCTCAGGTTGTGGTGATCCCAACCATCATTTCGTTGCTCCTTCATAACCAGTTTTGCTAGTTATGAATCATAACGTAAACCTATGTTTTCTGATGGTCTTAGGTGACCTCTGTGAAAGGGTCACCCAACTCTCAAAAGGGTTGTGACTCACAGGCTGAGAACCGCTGCGCTAACTGGAGTTTGGTTCCCAGCATGTAACAGGTAGCTCACAACTCCGCTCCAAAGAATCTAATGCCGTCTTCTGGTCTCTGTGGGCACTTGCACTCATGGGATACGCATCCACATAAATAAAAATAAACTTCTGAAAAAAGAGTGAAGGAAACAGAAAGGCTGATATCATGAATTCTATGGAGTTCACTCATCCAAAATGGGAAACACAGATTTCAAAAAAAGGCCATACTACATTCCAAAGGTAAAACAAATACTTTTATTGCACATTTATAAAATCTGCATAGTTGTATTGTTCTTCCCTCCCATGATTTTTCCACTAATCCTTAAAATTTGGTTAAAACATGACTTTCCAATTAGAAGTTCTTTAAAAATGGATTTCTCTCTACATATACATACAGATAAATGTTCTTTTCTTTATACAAATTCACATCCCTTACTTTCTAAAAGTGGGGGGAAAAGGAGGATCAAAATGTTCTGTTAGGCCAGGGTAGCCTTAGACACCTGCTTCTGATAATTTTCAGAGTTTTGCTTAAATGATTAATAACTATTACAACATTCCTTGGGCAGCTTCACAATACCACTGCGCCGAAAGCCCATGAAGCTTTCTTTTCTTTCACTCAGGACTGAACGTGAGGTTTTCTGGTTTATATAAACATAAACAGACCTAAAGGTGAGGCAGCTTTCCCTGGCTTGGCGGCGCAGCCTCAGGTTCCACCCACACGTGGAAGGAAGGGCTCGTCAGTACTCCCTTTCATCACTGTCAAGAGCCGCGCAAGACTTCTATCTCGAATTTCTGGTAGTTAAGGATTTCAGTGTCATCTGAACTTGACAAAATGACTAATAACTGCTCCTCCAGTTCAGTTCTGGTGAGTCACCCTTCTGCTGTCACAAATACCGGGGCCTGAAGGGCAATTTAAAAATGGCATGAGGCTTACACAAACCCAAGTATTATGGGAGATTAAAAAGGCAATTCAGGTCTTCTGGGACAATTCAAAACTACACTGCACTGGCCTTCAGGGAAATAGCTCTCATGATTCTGTACCTACAATGTGCAACTTTATCCTTAATCCTTTGAACACACATCATGAGAGGGGTAAGGGTCTGACTCTGCTCAGCCACCCAGTCCCCTTCTCCAGGATAATCTGCAATAACAGGCTGCTGGAACAGGCAGGTGACCAGAGACCAGGCTGAGTCTTGACGGTGAGGGGCTTATTTCACTGTTACTGTCGAAACTCCTTGAATGGACTCCATGACAGCTGCAAACCGGCTGCAAAGGTCATAAGGAGAATTAGGTCGAATAGTTGGAGGCTCTTTCAAGATGATGATTTCCGCAGAAGGATCTAGAAGTCTGGGTAGGAACTCCCCTAAGCACAGCTGCAGATTTTCTGTAGAGGGAAAATGAATGGTTACATCCACAGCTAAAAAGATCTTAGTGGAAACTCAGAAGCCTGCAGCTATATAGGAGGGCTTTCAAGCACCCAACATTCTAGCTCCAACAGCATGCATCCTCCTGCAGCTAACAGATGAGGATGCCTTTGGGGCTCAGCCCCTCCCACTGTAGCTGAAAGCTCACACAGGGCTGCATAACTGAGTTTATGTCCATGTCTGTTTATGTTGGGTGGGGAAGGTTGTCATGAACAATTTGGCAGCAGTAAAAGGTATATGAACACATCAATAAAAAAAAGCAGTTCAAAAGCAAACATGTAATCATGACTTCACTGCAACCTTGGTTCCAAACACACATTGTGCGTACAGTCAATGCCAATACACGCTGCCAGCTTGCCATTCTTATAGAAACATTAGTAATTTAATCACAGAAAAGACTTTTTAAACATTTTCCTACCATTATTTGATGCATGCAAGCATCAAATTAGGGTTATCTTTGGATTGGATTGTTTGTAGTAAGGTGTTTGATTTTAAAAATTTTGAGTTGCTGATTTGTTTCATTTAAAAAGAAAGCATTAAGTGAACTTTGGCTTGGGATCAGATCAGAATTTCCATCACTTTTGAAACGGCCCTCAATGTACCTCTATCATTTTATACTACATACATTATTTGTGTAAAGAGGTGCTTAGCACTGACATTTATAGAATTAAAACCAGGTTGTTCAGATGTTCTAAATCCTAAAGTATCAAATATTCAACCAAGATTTAACCTTTTCTGTAAAAATAAAGCAATGTATCTCATGAGCATGCAAATTTGTTATCATCTTTATAAACGGTAAAGGTTTAATTTGTGTGCCTATTTTGGCATGCCTATATACCTGAGGTGCATAAAACTTCCTGAGTGGGACCAGTGAGACAGCTCAGAGAGTAAATAAAGTGCTTGCTGCACAAGCCTAGAGCCTTGAGTTCAGTACCCAGAACCCAGGTCAAGATGAAAAGAGAGGACAAACTCCACAAAGCTGTTCTGAGTTACACACTTGTGCTAGGGCACACGCACCCCCCATATACACCCAATAATAATAATAATAAATGAAAATGTTTTTTAAGTAGCTTGGTATGCCTTTAATCCCAGGTTTCAGGAGGCAGAGGTAGGCAGATCTCTTTTGAGTTTGAGGCCAGTCTGGTTTACAAAGTGAGTTTCGCCAGGCGGTGATGGTGCACGCCTTTAATCCCAGCACTCGGGAGGCAGAGGCAGGCAGATCTTTGTGAGTTCGAGGCCAGCCTGGTCTACAGAACGAGATCCAGGACAGGCACAAAGCTACACAGAGAAACCCTGTCTTGAAACACCAAATAAATAAATAAAATTAAAAAACAAAAAAAAAGTGAGCTTCATGCCAGCTAGAACAACATAGTGAGATGCTGACTCAGAACAAAACCAAACAAACGACAGTTCCATGGGTAAAAAGGAGGTGCGAGTGACCTAAAAGCCCTGCTTTAGGTCAGGCCAGTCAGAAGCAAAGACCTACTGTCCAAGTAGTAAAGCTATTTTGCCATCACGGTTGTGTCTTCTTAATAATCATCACCTTAAAACTTGAGAAAGTGGATGTCATGCTCTGAACCACAAACACAATGATGCTATTGTCTTTCAAGTGCTTAAATATACTAGTGTCCATAGAGAATTAAGCAAAACTATAGATCACATGTGGTCTAAAGAAAAACAGACAAAAGGTAACAGCAATCGTTTATTACAAGATTTAGCAATAAATCCTGTATACTACAAGTCATTAGGCTCTCTTTACACGAGTGGAAAATGAACAAGAAGGATTCCTATCAGAGTATACACCTTTCAAGTCAACTGAACCCACCTACAAAATACTAGCTTTAGTATCTCTCAAGATATACTAGCTTTAGTATCTCTCAAGATACTGAAGTAATCAGTTAACAATATTCTTATATACTATAACTTCAAACCTCAAGAAATTTAAAGAGCCATCAGATAATCATATTCTGCATAAATATATTTTGATTTTTGGCCGGGCAGTGGTGGTGCACGCCTTTATTCCTAGCACTTGGGAGGCATAGCCAGGAGGATCTCTGTTGAGTTTCGAGGCCAGCCTGGTCTACAGAGTGAGACCCAGGCAGGCACCAAAACAACAGAGAGAAACCCTGTCACAAAACAAAACAAAAACATTTTATATATATATATAAAAAATAAAATTTTTAAACTATGAAAATACAGAATTTAGCAGTTGGAAAAATAACAGAAGACTACCGTTCCTACAGAGCGCTGACTGTTTTAAAACAGGGCTTGCTTTGGCTGAAGTATAGCAAGGCAGCAAGGTGCTTGCTCGGCATGTCCCTGGGTTTAGTTCCAAGTACTGCAAAAAATTAAAAAGTGACGACAAAGTCAGTCACAACTCTACAGGACTTGCTAGCTGACCCTGGAGTGGCTTCAGCAATTAACTAACTGGCTGAGACAAGGAGGTGGAAAGAAGTAGAGGCCAAACTCACAGACTCTCTTTCCAAGGAGCACATCCATGTATCTTACTGAAGATGTTGGGGCTTCTGATCCCCTAAAAGGCTTCAACAACCAGTGACACTAAAGAGTGAGAGCACTGCGTTCTCAGATACACCAAGTCACAGACATGACAGGGACATACCTGCGATGTCCTTCCCCAGGTAAGAGCACCAGTGGTTCCTCATGACCTCAATGGCATCCAAGTCATCCTTGGAGATGTCATTATTAATGATCAGGTGGATACAGGGAATGATCAACTCGTTCATCACATTAATGCCCTCTGTTACAGAGTGGTCATCATTTGTTTCAAACAGAGAAGCAGCCTTGGCATTCAGCTCCTACAGATAAATGGCAGAGAAGGGGAGAACGCTTGGGAAAGTGGCAACTTAGTAGGAACCTAAGCCAATGGTCACACCAAATCACCTAACTGACGTGGAGGACACTGGTTCCCACCCTAGATGTGCTGACATAGTTAGGATTAGGATGTAGGTGACCTGGGCCCTGGGACTTTATAGCAACTCCTGTAAAGATTCAAACGCACCCAAACTTGTGACTCGCTGGCCTAAACTTACAAGTCAAGGTCATATCTGACATCTGTTTCTACCCAAAGACCTATTTTTTTAGTGGTCCTCAACTTTCACTGACTACTAGACCCACACACAGAAGACTGAAACCCAGACTGTTCCCCAAACTGGTCTGAAGGCCCTGGCTATGGGACTCTGATACACAGAGGTTGAGAGCCGGGGACAAGAAGCCTAAATCATCCCTAGTACGGCAGCAGCAAGGAAGGGGCGAGGACAGTCAAGGTGACAATCTGTTCTGGTGACTTAGAAGCGAACAGCACAAAGCCCTTTAGTGCTCCTCTTCTCAGCAAAGTAGCCAGCCCTGCCACAGCAAGAATGATCAGAAAATGAGGATGCTGAGAAGGGTAAACCCACCAAGGACATCTGGGAATGCACATACAGGGACGATCTATAAACCAGCCGTCTCTTGACACTTCCATGAAGAACTAGCATGGCAGACACTCCCCCGGGCAGGCTGACAGGATTGCACCTGCCTTTCCCTACAGTGCCCAATGCCAAGGAGGGAAGGCGACAAGGTTGGCAAGACTACTCTTACATTCTGTGACCCTTCATACGACTGGAGTATCTGTCCCGAAAACTCATCTGCTAGGTGACCCTGGGAAACATCCCATTCTTTCCATGCATTCACTGTGGCTCAGTATGTGGTGGGCTTAGAGGAAACAGCTGACCAGAAGAAGGCTCTGTGCTTAATAAACTCATACCTAGTGGGGGAAATACGCTAAAAGCTTTACTGCAGGTACATAGGAAGGGCAGAGAGATGGCATGGCTTGTTCAACTTGTCAGGGGTGGGAAAGGAACGATACAGTGAGAGAGCAAGACAAGAGGAGGGAGGCAGGGAGGGAGGGAGGAGAGATGAAGGTTTTGTAGGTGGTACAAACCAGAAGGCATTTTCTGCGGTACAACGCGATCACAGACTCCTTCACACCCCTGCGGGGCCCCTTCATCAGCAGGGCAGCATTGCTCTGGTAGGCATACACCAGATAGGACAGTGCTTCCTGGTACCTAGAAAACGGGAGAAAAGCCACAGCTAAGCTCTCTCACCAAAACCTAGGGCTTAGCTCTCACTTTTCTGCAATGAGAATATATTCGGCTATAATATGGTGTACTGGGAAAAGCCTGGGGATCAAAGACCACATGCAACCTCAGCCTTCTGTACACTGGCCAAGAAAGGGAAGGCAAAAGAGGAAACATCTTCAGGCCTCAGGTTTTCTCCACCTCTAATACAAAGAAAGGGACTAGCTATTCACTGTGGCCCATGTCAATCAAAACTTCACTTGCCAGTCACAAAAAGAACCCAGTATAACATCATCTCCTCAATAATAAACCCGTTACTACGTGAAGGACCAAAAAAAAAAAAAAAGGCGGGGGGGGGGGTGATGGATGTGTAGAGCAAGGCTGAGCATGGAGGTGGGCTGTGGTATATGACAGAGGGGGGGACTTGTGGTGACTTCTGATTATCCCTGGTGGGCATCAGTGTTCTCACTAGCAATGTCAGCAAAAGAAAAGGCCAACATACTTTCCTTTTTGAAAGAGTTCTAGGCCTGTTAGGAGGTAGACAGACACCTTTCGGAACAAGCTGTAATCTTCATGCCACCTCTGCAAAGGAAAGACCACCATTAATGACTTATCTCAGTACAAGCATTTATTCAGCAAATGTGGCCAACTACAAAAACACACAAACTTTGGGGGCGGTGGGGGATTGAAAGCTGAGCATGGACGTGCATGCATGCCTGTAAACCCAGCCCAGGAAAGATGGAGGCACAAGAGTCAAGAAGGCGAAGGCCAGAGTCACCCTCAGCTACATGACAAACCCGAGCCTCACCTAGACTGCAGAATACTTTCCGTGTCCCATTCCTTCTGCTGAGGATCAGTAGACCATTTTACTTCACCTAAGTAGTTTGTAAACCCTCCTAATCCTAACACAACCCTCAAAGTCATTCAGCTCTGACTTATACAAATGACACTTCTGAGTAGGGACATGAACACTAGACAGGGGAAGAAGAGAGCACAAGACTACCCAAGCCACACAAACCACTGCCAGCTCAGCAAGTGTAGACAACACAACTCTGGCACAGTGTGCTTTTGTACACGGAAGAGGTTTCTTGTTTTTGTTTTTGAATTTAATCTGTAGTTCCACGTATTTTACTGCACACTTGGAAATGACTCCCTTACACACCCATATCAACACACACACAACCACGATGACCAGAACAGCATTGCCGAGGACAAGGATCAAAAGGCCCTTAGAAGATAAGTGCAGACAATCTAACAGAAGACTGACAACAGACAGACTGGGATTCTGACGCTAAGACACGATCTTTATTCATATTCTGCCTCTCACTCTGTAGCCTTGGCTGTCCTTGAACTCAGAGAACCACTGCTGCTGTCTCCTTAGTGCTGGGATTAAAGGTGTGCCCCACCACACTCAGCTTCTTTTTCCCCCCTCTGCAAGTTTTGTTATTAGGGATCTAGTCTGGTAACAGAAATTGTTCGTTTTACCTCCAGTACCACTGGGCTCCAGAATTAAAGTTTTGGGAAGAATTAAAAAATCAAAGCAAGCAAACTTACCTTATACTCTTCCATGTTCATATCATCTGGACCAATTTCCATCAGTTTGGCCTGAGCCACCTTCATGATACTGATAGATCTGTGTGGGACAGAGTTCAGAAAGCATTGGCAGTGTGCAGGGCAGCACCTCCAAATTGGAGGAACTTGCCTAGTGACACCCCGTGCAGGAACAGACATGGCATTCTCACCTCTCATCATAGCTAAGGTTTCTATCCGCAAACTGTTCCAGAAGGGTCCGTTCTACTACCCTTTTGGGTGCTTCATTTTGGAAAAAGTAGACAAGAACATGCTGAAGGCGAGGGTCACTGTGAGAGGTGGGGGTCTCTTTGGCAAGCTGATAGAGTCTGGAGTATTCTTCATGAAATGCCTGTTAGAAAGAGAATGGGGGAGTGGAGAAGGGAACACTGTGGACTTGAGCACACACACAGAAACTGACTCCAAAATGCCAGAGGCCCTCTCATTAATCCATATTAGGTTCAAGAAGTCTTGTGGAGAAATTACATAAGCAACTATGCAATATGTGAATTGTTGGCATATCACAACTCCTTCAAATCCTGGCACTAGAGAAATACTATACTCAAAAAATAAACTAATTTTCCTCATCAAGTTTTGGTTGTTTTTGTGAAGACAGGGTCTCATTCTGTAGTCCAAGCTACCCTAGACTTCATTATATAGACCGGGCTGGCCTTGAACTTGTGGCCATCCTCTTGGTTGTGTCTCCCAAGTGCTAGGATTACAGGTATGTGCCACCATGCCTGGCTCTCATCAAGTTCTTAAAAACACAAGTATTTAGTTTAAATTTTTTGAAAATCCACCCAAATGTAATTTTATTCAAATTTAAAATATTTTAAATAGTATGACCTTTTTTTTTTTTTTTTAAAATGAAGGTTCCCAGATTACAAAGGCAGTCTCTCAGAGTTTGTGACATCAGTGAACGTTTAACAACCTCATCATCCCTGTGGGTTGGATTCAGCGGTTAGCACAGAGGCACTGCTAACCGCTGGCTAGCCAGGTGAAGATGAGCCATTAGCTTTGTGGGACGGCTTGCTCACCAGCTGGACAGGAAGGACAGTGTCATGTTTCATTTTAACACAGGATACTGTATTTCCTTCTATGTACTAGACTGCACATGTGTGGAGAACAAAGGGCAACCTTGAGTATCATTCTTCAGATTCTAACCAACACACATTTTGGGGAGGGGGAATGGGAGGTTGAAACAGGGTCTCACTGTATAGCCCTGGCTGGCTGGTGACTTACTATGCAGCCCAGATGAGTCTTGAACTCAGAGATCTGCCTGCCTCTGTCTCCAAATGCTGGGATTGAAGGCCCATGCCACCATGTGCTGCTCCACCATATTTTGGGGGAACAAGATCTCTTACTGGCCTTAGAATGACCAAGTAAGCTGTGTTGACTGGCCAGCAAGCCTCAGGGATCCTCCTCTTTCTACCTTTGCAGTACCGAGATTATAAACATGCACTATACCACGCCTAGTTACGTGTGTATATGTATGGGGCAGGGAGCATATATGTCTGGTACCCATAGAAGCCAGAGGAGTGTCAGACCCTCTAAAGCCAGAGCGATGGAGAGTGTGGGCTGCTCAGTGTGGGATACTGGGAACCAAACTTGGGTTTTCTGCAAATGCAGTATGTGCTGGGACATCTCACCAGCCTTGTAGAATTTTTTGTTAATGTAGGTTCTGGAGATCAAGTTTAGATCCTTCTAAGTGAGCAATCTCCCCAGCACAGACCAACTTAACACCATTTCCCACTGTCTTATGGAAATATTCCCGGGTCATGAGGATTAAAATGTTAAAACGAGAGTACCTTAATAAGCCCTGCTTCAGACCCGTCTCGGTCAAAGGTCTGGCGTGCTTTAGCTATGGCCAAGATGACCCCTTGCATGGCAGGGCTCAGCATCACCTACCACAGAGGGCACAGACAGGGAAAAAAGGAGAGCAGACAGGTTCAAAAGGAGACTGCATGAAGAGAGGTGAACAGGTTGCTGATGAGAAGCAGAGTACTGTCTCCTTGGCCAGCACAGGCTGCGGATCAAATTTCACAGCCCATTCTAGACGCATGCACAGCCTTGGCTATTCTTGTGATGATGCCTATGACAAGCTGTCCCTCTACATGCACATTCTAATTCTGCAAGACAAACAAAGATGTCCAAAAACACTTCCACTGGGGCACTGCTGAAGAGTAAGCTCAGCTATATGGTCCGCATTCCAACTTAGCTCCCTAAATGAAGGTATAAAGGTAAAGGTATATATTAAATAGCTGCAAATTTCCATAAATAAAAAATATATACCCACAGCCAAAGACAGAAACCTGAGACAGGATTAATGACTATTTGTGTGCAGTGCAACAAAAAGGGAGACAGACCATGAGAAACAGCTGCTTGCTGAACTCAGAACTTTAATCCACATTTGTTTTACTCACTGAGCAACTGGAAAAATTCTACTTGGAAGGCAAAATAATGGACTACCATCAAAAACAAACTGTCTCTAGAAGGTAAACATATTTTTGTCAACAATACCAAATGGAAATAATCTCCCCAGGCCACCTAGGCTTTGCGGCAGTCCCTCCTCAACAAAAGCCTGGGTGTACACACACACACATGCACACACGCATGCCAACAGTGCACAGCAGGAATGGGTCTCTGGTGCCTCCTCAAAAACGGCAACTAAGGTCGAAAGCAGATAGGCCTCCATGCCTGTTACTCGTTTCAGTGAGAAAACATTAGCTCGTGACAGACACCTTCTGAAAGACAACACACAGCTACCCTGCACTCGTCTCTGTACCTCCTCATCATATCCATCTGCATCAGATCTAACCAGAATCCTTCCCACACTGGGAATCTCGACTTCAGAGACCTCAGAGTTAGGTGGGGTAGCAGCCTCTGTGTCACTGGCCTCTGGGGTCTGCTCTGACTGCTCTGCAAGGTTTGTTTCCTGGGGTTTGGGCTTCTCGGGTTCAGCTTCCTTAAGCTGTGGCAGCAGAATGGAGAGAAAGAGTAAGAACAACAATGGGGAACAGGAAGAAATAAAGAGGGGGGCGTTAAAATCGGCAGACACGGAATAACAGAAAGGGCAGGAAGCTGGCAGTTGGTATCAAAAGCCAGACCCTCTTGCAGGAAGGCCACTTCCTCTGTCTCACCCCACTCAGTCTCACCTCACTCAAGGCTGCTTCCACACCGCTCTTCTCGTAGGCATGGGCTGTGTTTGCAATAGCTTGGGCAGTCTGCTCCTTTGCAATTACAGCATGTTCAGAGGACAAGCATCGAACGCCATGGGAGGAGGCTGCTGGAGACTCTGACCAAACAGACAAAGAACCACACAGGTGTCACATCTGATGAATAATGCTCTCAACACTCTGCAAAGAGGGAAGCAGGAGGAGCACACGGTTCCACAGACAGTCCCAGCACACCCTTCTCAAAGCCCATGTACACGTCCCTAGAAACTGTGACAACAAACAGCGACTCCACATTAAGGACCCTTGAAGGTCTACTAAAATTACTGTGCTTGACTTTTCCCACTTGTGCACACCACAGATGTTTCCTTCCATCAACCATTTCTTAGGAAGATCTCTTACAGAGAAGAGATTTCACGAAGTCTAACTTTTAATCCTGTCATTTCTCCTACAACCTGGGGGATAAGCCTTTCTTGCATTATTTCTGCTTGTCAGAAAGCACCTTCTAAAGGCACAATGATTCTATCACATTGTGCGATAACAACTATAAATGAAGCCCACTGCTGGGCCAGAAACGGCTCACTGGGTAAAGGTGCTTATGGCTGAGCCTGATGGCCTGAGTTTGATCCTTGCGACCCACAAGAGAACTGGCTCCCACAAGTTGTCCCCTGATTTTAACTCATGTGCTATGTATGGCATGTGCTTTCCCACCCCTTCCATTAAAGAAAAATTAAAAATTAAAAATAAAAGAAACCCGCTGTGAAGAGAGGCATCACCATGTCCCTGAGTATCTGGGGTTGGCTGGAGTCCACAAGGACCTGACTAGACCTGGGAGAGTGCCTTCCTTCCTTGCATACCTTGAGATGTGGAGAAATCCTGTGATGAGGAGTTTGGGGAGGACTCCATCTGTGGGATCTTACAGGACTGCTCTTCTTCCCACTCCTCCACCTCTTGCTCAAACCTCCAGTTATCCTCCTGAATGTACTGCCTGAGTTCCACAGACAGGGCTTCTACTTCTCCTGCCATTTGATCAGCTTCGTTAGGAGTTGCCTCTGAGGAAAGCAGTTAAAATGGAGTGCCATCCAGAAAGAAACCAAAAAGCCCTTCACAGAAGGAAGGGCAGCACACTTCAGCTTTTCTCTTGTTTCTCTCTAAATAGACATACATACAAACATGTACACTCCTACTTACACATGTAATTCTATCAAAACTCAGACAATGAGGCTAACAAGCACAACCCATCAGGAACCCTGAGGAAGCAGCAGGAGGCAGGTGCTGGGTATGTGTCTGCTGGGGCTGCAGAGACAGCTCAGCAGCTCACAGTACTGGCTGCTCCTGCACAGGACCCAGGTTTGGATGTGATAGAATCTTAAGCTAGGGGGTTGGAGAGACGGTTCAGTGGTTCAGAGTGTGTGCTGCTCTTGTGAAGAACCAAGTCCAGTTCTCAGCATCCATGTAGGATGGCTCATAACCACCTGTACCTCCAGTTCCAGGGTACCTGGAGTTACAGGTACCTGCATGCAGAGGTAGACAAACACACATAATCACGGGCACATACACAGAAGTATTTTTTTTAATCTTTTAAAAAAAGTGAAAAGAAAAAGAAATTTTAAAGTAACAGTTGTATCAATTTAACTACTGCATCTGAGCCTTCGTCCCAGCTGAGCATGGTGGCACCCAACTATAATCTCAGCACAGCACCAGAGAGGGAAGGCAGGAGGCGCAGGAGCCAGGGAGGCAGAACAGGCTAGATGAGTCACTATCTAGAAAGACCAAAGAACTTTCACCTATTTTAATCAGTTGAGTAAGAATTTCAAGGTACTGATCTGAGTGCACTTTGGAGGCAATGGAAGGCCCATCTCAGTAAGAAAAAGAAATGAAAAAAAGAAAAGAGTCAAGTACTTATACTTCCTCAAATTCCACACAATTACGTGCTATCAGAAATCAAGATGCAATATTGGATAAATGGTGCATAATTAAGAATCATTAAGAACTTTAATAAAAAAATGGCAGAAATACCAAGGACACATTAAATTCTAACTCTGTCATCAAAATCAATAAAGACTCTACAACAGAAGAGCAAAATCCTTGTTAGTTGCCACTAATTAGCCTTTTCATGAAGCAAGTGAAAAGTCCACTTGCTCCTTCTGAGTCAGGCTCTTTTATAGCCTAGGCTGGCCTTGAACACCTGATCCTGTCACTCCCACCTGAGTGCTAGATTACAAGCATGCACAACCACACTTTTTTTACAAAGTGCTGGGGATCAAACCCAGGGCTTCACGCACACCAGGCAAGCACTCTACACAATCAAGAGCCCCGCCCTCCATGTACTCCACGAACGAGAAAGGTAGGCAGTAACAAAGAACTCACAGCCAACCAAGAGCCATCACAATCCCCCACAGTCCCCACAGCCACTGTTTATGGCTTTACACCATCAATATATGCGGTTGTTTTCTGACTTTTTGAGGCAGGTCCTACTTTAAAGCCCAGGCTGGCCCTGTAATCCTCCCGCCTTACCTCTTGGATGCTGAGATTACAGGCCCGAGCCAGCACACCCACTTAAGGAAGTTCTATTTATGAAAAAGTAAGTTTGCTAAATTCTCAATTAATAAAAAAATGGGTAGAAGTGAATAGAAAAATACCTCAGTGAGAGGAAAAAATGGGGAAGGAAAATAGACACATAAAATCTACATACACACAGACCATGTCTTGAGGATGACATAGAAACATCACAGTGTGGACTTGCTGGGGAGTCGGGTTGATGGTCAAAGCAGAAGTAGAAAAAAGTAAACCTATCTTCTCTTTTTATTCCTTACAATTTTTATGTTTTGAAAACATTTTACATAAAAATAAACTGTAGTTTAAATGTTTTCAACGTAAGTATGAGACTGTTTTTCCCCCAGGGACTAGATTTCCCCTCAACTGTGGATTCTATTCAGCCATTTTTACCTGCATTGAAGTGGGGTAGCTTGTCATTTATATACATCAAGCAGTACGCACTGACATTTCTCAGGCCCCCATAAGAATCTCTTTCAAGTTCCTCCCAGGAAGACTCAGTGACAGAGATATCATTATATTTGAGCCAGATTTGCCGAGGCTGGTTATAGATATAAGCCCAGTAGTGTCCAGCATTGGCTTGTCCTTCGTGAACAAGAACTGCATGTAAACGATAAGGCACCTGCAAAACAGAAAGGAAGGTTCTCAGGCTGAGTGAAGAAATCTGATGATGTTTATGTTACGAGAATTCAAAACATCCCCAGCTACCAGGTAGAAGGGAAATGACACACTAATTCACATTAAGCATTTTACTACTTCAGGATAGACCAATAAAAATACAGCCTTGGAAGCTATCAATCCCACAGCTCTTAAAATAAGAGAGTTAAGGACTGAAGAGATGGCTCAGAGGTCCTGAGTTCAATTCCCAGCAACCACATGGTGGTTCACAACCATCTATAATGAGATCTGGTGCCCTCTTCTGGTGTACAGGCATACATGCAGGTAGAACACCGTATACACAGTAAGTAAATAAATCTTAAAAAATAAGAGAGTTAAACCAGACCCGTCTGCAGGCTCTTTCATTTCAGTCTTGAGTTCTGCTCAGTACCCTACTATGCTTTCATTCAGGTGCAGATTGTTTTTGAAACAGCACAAGAGACAAGAAGGAAAGCCAAGAGTCGCACGGTCTGTTCCTATTCCACACCACAACCATGCTTACTGCCCTGCTGGGAGCAGAGCTGTGCCATTGTGCCATGAGTCGGTCACAGAGTTGTCTCTGTACTGCCATGTCCATGGCAGTGCCGACGGTAAGATTTCTGTCTGAATGGCTCCCTTTTGGAGTTTCCAGTTACTAGAGCAATCAAGCAGTAGGACCCTACTAAGAGTGCCTCACAGTATTCTGGAGATGCAGAATTGGTCTTTAATCAGTTTCCCCTGCACTGCTTTGGTTATCACTTGGACACCATTTTTATTAATATTTAAAAGCAACCTTGTTTTTAAGATTGTCTTTTTTTTTTTTTTTTGGTTTTTCGAGACAGGGTTTCTCTGTGTAGCTTTGCACCTCTCCTGGAACTCACTTGGTAGCCCAGACTGGCCTCGAACTCACAGAGATCCGCCTGGCTCTGCCTCCCGAGTGCTGGGATTAAAGGCGTGCGCCACCACCGCCCGGCCTGTCTTTTTTTTTAAATTATGTGTGTGCACATGCATGTGAGTGTGCACATGTGAGTTCAGGTGCCCACAGAGGTCAGAGGTATTGAATCTCCCTAGAATTGGGACTTATAGGTGGTTTTGGGAACTGAACTTGGGTCCTCTGCAAGAACAGCATGTGCTCCTAACTGCCGAGCCATCTCTCCAGCCACTCACAGCAAATCTTTCCATTATATGGAAAAATACCACATGGCAGAATCCAAAAAAGGATGTTTTAGGTTTCAATGTACATAGAAGACACTCTGAATTCTTCAACTTGATGTAAGAGAACAATATGCTTTTGTCTTAGGGAGATACCCATATAGTTCTTTCCTTGTGGTATTATGTTCTGTCATTAGCACCAGCCTGTTTTCCATGACTTTTAATTCTACCTGATGAAGAAGAGGATCACAGTACATCTGCTCAATAGCCTGGGTGGTGCTCGAGATACAATTCTTTAAATCTGTTAAGAAAGAAAAACTGTTAGTGCACCTGCGTGCAGGGCCTACCAGCCATAACCAGCCATGTGCACACTGCTTCTCTGCGTCCCATTCTAAAGACCTCTACTTCCTGCCAGGAAGCACAAGGCAGCACGTGGTACAGGCGGAAGTGACAAGTGCTTCCAGTTATAAAGGCTTTTAATTCCATGTAATTATACTGAGGTCTAACACTGAAATTTCTTAAAGAAATTGTCTCGATTTAGGAAAAAGTTGCATGACCTGAAGCAAGAGTTCAGAGGAAGTACAACAGCAATCAGAGGAGAAACCTGGGCTCAGCAGCAGAGGACATGCCTATCTTGTCTGAGCCCTGGAGGTAGGGCAAGCAAGAGCAGAGCATGGGCAGCTGCTGTTTAGGAAGCAGCAGTCTTGTCAAGATGCCCACAGCTGTGGGCACTGTCCCCACACTGGGGAAGCTGAAGCAGGAGGATCGTGAGTTTGAGACAAGCCTGGGTGATAAAAGAGAGACCATATCTTTAAAAATAGCAAGAAAGATATTAGAGCAAACTTTCATTTAACAAAGCCTGGTTATGAGGCGAACACTGTTACTATCCCCTTTACTATCAATTACGAACTTCACATTTAAACAGACTAAGCCAGCATAGAAGTACACGTTGATTATTCCAACATTCCAGAGCTGGAAGCAGAAAGAGCGTATGAACTCAAGGTCAGTACTGAGACCCTGCCTCAGAGGGGCAGGGCAAGAGCAGGAGAGAAGGGAGGGGAGGAACACATACTGCTTGATCTCAGCAAAGGTTCCCATGATTGTAAAACTTTTAGAATGGCCAGAAATTTTTTTTTTTGGGGGGAGGGGGGGGGCAATTTGAGAGGCAGAATTCCACAGGACCAAGCCTACAAGGCAGGTGAAATGCAAGTCAGTCGCCAGGCCTGACAGCATGAATACCCAGGGTGCCTAGCTTCCAAACAGCCAGGAAAACAGGGAGTACCTGACAAGTTCTCAGAGCACCAACCTTGTATATCCTGTTCAATCTCACTCCGCCACCTCTGAAGACAGGTCTTAACAAAGTTCATCTCCTCATCTGTGACTGTCCGAGGAGCCGGGGGTGCAGGCATTCCCACAGAGGAGTGGGGAGAGGTAAACAGCCCATTCATTACATCAGACTTGGGCAGAGCATCTTCAGGAGAGGAAAAAGTGCCTTCAGCATCTTGAGAACAGCTTTCTTGACTTGAACTAAGGGAAGACAAAAGACGACACTCATTCTGTCATACCGAAAACGCAAGTTGGGCTGGACATGGGGGCAGAAACCTGTACTGTCACCCCTTGGAGGCTAACACAGGACTGCTGTGACTCTGAGTCCACGTGGTATAGTGAAGAGCCTTTCTCAAAAGAGAAGGAAGAAATCAACTTGACCTAAACTACTGCATTTCAGAAAACCAGCCACTCTATGACAGGTACAGCTACTATTTAGTGAAAGCAGTAATTACAGTATGCATTCCTAATGGCTGAGCATTCTTTCTAGTCTCAACAACTCGGGTTTTTTTTGTTTGTTTGTTTTCTTTCTTTCTTTCTTTCTTTCGTTTTTTTGGTTTTTTTTTTTTGTTTTTGAGGCAGGGTTTCTGTGTGTGGCTCTGTCTGTCCTGGAACTCGATGTAGACCAGGCTGGCCTCAAACTCAGAGATCCGCCTGCCTCTGCCTCCCAAGTGCTGGGATTAAAGTCATGCACCATTACCTCCTGGCTAACAAAAGGGTTTTTAACATAAGCTTTTCTCTGTGGGGGACAAATGTACCATGACCTGCTGGCACCTTCAGGCTTTTATAAAGACTGCTGGCTGAATGGGCATAGTCAGAGGATCCTGGTTGGCCTCCCTGTGCCTTCACGAGCCCAGCTCCTCTAGGTTTGTCCTCAGCATTCTAGCCATTTCCTCCTTGGGTAACTCTGTGCTAATGAGTAGGGTTTTTTCCTTGCTGTTTACTTCAGCCATGTCTCCTTCACCACAGATGAAGCATAGATCGAGATGCCTGGAAGACCAGGGCCTGACAGGGCTCTGAGAAAGGCCTTTTGGGGCAGTTAGCTCAGAGCGAAGCAGTTCTGAAGAGTTTGATTCAGGCAGTGGACAGTGAGACGCCTCTGCAACAGGAGCATGCTTCCTGGAGACAAGTACTCAGAACACAGCCACTTGGGGTAGTGACAAAACCCTTCCCTGAAGACAAAGCTCACCCCTTGAGCTATCTGGGGTGAGCGCTCAGCATGTGTGAAAGATGGGAAATGGTTGAAATAAAAATAAAACTGGAAAAACACCACAAACCATTGAAGAAATCTTCTTCCATTACCTTTCCTTGGATGTGAGGTCAGAAACAGGGCAGTGCACTGAAGAAAGTGGTAATGTCATATGCTCAGCACGTGGAGATTGACAGCTTTCCGAGGCAGGCTTTGTACTGGCAAATTCAATAACGTATTTCAGCATGTCAGGGAGTGGGAACCGAGCTGGGCCAGAGCCATACTTCACATACCTAAGAGACAAAGACACTGGAACACTACTGCCCAAGTTTACTGTACATGCATGGTAAGAACTGCTAACAAAAACCTTATCATGCAGTCAATGGAAGACTCAGGTGTGCTAATATCCACCTGTAATCCTAACACTCAGGAGGCTGAGGCAGAAAGATCACCAAGAGTTTGAGACCCACCTAGGTTACAGAGTAAGTTTGGGGCAACCTAGTGAGAGCGTATCTCAATCTTACATCATGAAAATCTACATTATCCCTAAGATATATAGTATTTAGTTGGTTACTGGATCTATAAGGTTAAAAAAAAGGCTCTAACAATAAAAACTGCTAGAAGTCTGACGCCTCATACCACATGGGACCATTTCAGACAGCCCCTGCTCTGTTCTGCTGTCAGCCCCAGTCAGGCTGTGCTCATAAACCTAGTTCTTTCTTAAAGGAAAAGACATGTTCCACACTACAACTGAAAAAGCATCTGGTGGTTAGTACTCAGGACTATTTTCTTTGGCCTTTTTGGACAAACTGCTTCATAACTGAGAGTGAGAGAAATCCAGAAATCGAAATTAGACATTAAAGAAGGCCAGAGCCTAGGAAAACTGGCCAATCTTCCTTTTGTAGAGTCTCACATACTCTTATTATTCATGAATGTGTTTGACAGCATAGGCCAGGCATAAATAATTTATGATTTCTCCAGGAAGAGTAAATAATATTCTCAAATATGTGACTGAAAGATATGTGTGTGGGTATTCTGCTTGCATTAATGCCTGTACACATGAATGTCTGGTGCCCTAGGTGGCCATAAAAAGGTGTAGGACCCCCTAGAAATGGGAGTTATGAGCTATTATGAGCTGCTATGTGGATCCAGGGAACTGAACCTGGATCCTTCACAAGAACAGCAAGTGCTCTTAACTGCTGAGCCATCTCTCCAGCTCCTTAAGGTTTTATTTTTAATTACACTGGTGTGCGCGTGTGTTTGTTTGCGTGTGTGCATGTGTGCACACAGGTGCTCAGAGTCCAGAAGAGGGCATTGGATTCCCTGGATCTTGAGTAACAGGTGGTTGTAAGTCACAAGGACACGAGTGCCAGGAACTGAACTCTGGTCTTTTGCAAGCACAGCACATACTGTTGACCCCTAAGCCTTCTCTCCAGCCTCTAAACAAACTATTTTAACAACACCTCATATTGTCACTAGTAGCACATCACTTTCAACTCACTATGAAGATGTGGTTCAATGCAGTCTACAGTTCACTACAGTAGAATCTAAAGGCAGGACAGTCAACCTAACCGGCTCCCACAGGTAACTCCACTGCTCTGGACTTCCATCTTACAAAAGAAAACAGGCGTTTCACCACTCTTCTCCCTAAACACCGCAAAAAGAAACGCACTCACACATGGGATTAAGAAAACCATCTAGTTCTGTAGCCAAAGCGACATCACAAAAACATACTAGGGCTACGGCTGTGGGGAGACTGCCTGCCTTGCATGCATGAAACCCTAGTTTGCTTCACAGCGCTACACAGACCAGGAGAGCTAACACTAAATCCAGCACTCAGGAGGTGCAGGCAGGAGGAGAGGAAATCAAGGTCCTCCTCAGCTACATACTATCTGAGGACACCCTGGGATACAGCAGACCCTATCTCAACAACCACAATGACAGTGTTAGTTAAATGAGCAGGGTATGGTAGCATACATCTGTAATTCCACCAGCACTTGAGAGGCAGAGGCAGGCAAATCGTCATGATTTTAATACCAGCCTGGTCTACATAGCAAGTTTAGGCTTATGTAGTGATATGTTGTCTCAAAAACTCAAACTAACAACAACAACAAAGAGGAAAATGAAAATATGAGTAGAAACTAAAGGGCACTGCAACTCAGCCAGACAAATGACAGAGGCGGACAGCAAAGGCTGCTCTAGGCGAGGCAGAGGCTTGGTACCAACTATGTGTCCCCTCGAAGTCACTAATGGAGAAGTGACAGATGCCAGCCAGGGTGGAAGAGCTTTAGCTAGCTGTTCAATCCCTAGCCCGCACTTTGACGTGCTCTTCCATTACAAGCTTATCAGACTCTGTCAATCCACACTTCATAGAGCAGAACTGATAACCTGGCACAGGAAATAAGGCACCAGCTTCCACCTAACATACTTTTTAATAGAATACTTATATGAAACCCCAGAGAAGTTTTTCCTCTAAGAAACTTGTGTGTATTTGTGGCAATCACTTCTGAGTTCCAGCTCTTAGAGCCAACTACTGCATACAAGGTAGCACCTGTTTTGACAACTCAGATCAGAGCAAGAGATAGGATGGGATGTAGTCCAGGAGCAGAGCATCTGCCTACTGTGCACAGGCACTCAAGTCTCAGCACAGGGAAAAACAAAACACAACACAGCAAAGGTGATTTCAGAAGTATTGTCTGCCTATTCTGTATAGAAGAAACCATACTTGCAATATCCTACTACAGCTATTTGAGACGAGAAAAAGTAAACGTGTCGTTTGTTTTCTGAGACAAGGTCACTTGCAATCAAAGTTGGCCTAGACCTCTTGATCCTACTGTCTCTACTTCCTAAATCCTGGGACCATACCCATGCACTATCACACCCCACCTTTTTGGTTTTCTGAGGTCAAGTTTATGCTGCAGTCCATCCAGGCTGGCCAGATCAGCCTCAAACTCATTCAATTCTTTTGCCTTGGCCTCCGAAATATAGAGATTACTGGTTACAAAGCCTTGAATTATTTTTAGACTTATACACTGAAAGTGATGTATGGGTGTGTTAAGAAAATTCAAATACAAATTATATAAAAAACCATGAAAGTTACCTACTCCACCTCAGTTCTGCATCTCACAGTATATTTATAAGTTCTTGGATATTTTCCTTGCAGTGTATCACATACAAACATACAAGTATGTCTGTGTAAGTTAAAAAAAAATCTATTCATTTATTGCATGTGTAGGAGTGTTTTGCCTGCATGTTTGTGTGTGGGAACCTCTAGAGGTCAGAGAGGGGATCAGATTCTTTGGAAGTGAAGCCATAGGTAGTTGTGAGCTGCTCCATGGGTGCTAGGAATCAAAGCCAGGTCCTCTGAAAGAGCAGTAAATGCTCTTGATTGCTGAATCATTTCTCCCTCCTTAGTCTTAAAATCCTATCCAGAAAGTTAAACTTTGGCCAGTGAGATGGCTTAGTGGAGAAAGCTGCTTGCTGCCAAGCCTGATACTCTGAGTTTGGTCTCTAGGATCCACATGGCAGAAGGAGAATCACCTCCAGAAGTGTCCTCTGACCTCTACATGTGCTCACACACGTACACACAAAATAAGTAAGTAAATAAATGTAAAACCAAAAAATTTTAAGTTATCCAAAACGCAAAACCTTTTGATTTTCAAGCCAGAGTAGGGGCTGAGTAGTTAAAGAACATACTGTTCTTACAGAGGACCCAATTACACTCCCAGCAGTGTGAGTAGGCTCACAGTCTGTAACTCTACCTCCAGAGCTGAGGTTCTCTTTTGGCCTCCACAGGTACCAGCACTCACAGGTGCACATAATCACACAGAGACACACACAATTAAAAATAAATCTTTAAAAAAAATCGAAAGTAATATTACACTAAGGAAAATACTCCCATCGTCTCACGGATTCTTGGTTTAAGTTCTCTAATGATAACTGGGCCAGTGACATGGCTCAGCAGAAAAAGGCACTTGTCTTGCAAGCCTGGTGACCTACGTTTGAGGTCCAGAATCCACACAACAGTGGAAGGAGAGAATCGATTCTGCAAGCTGTCATCTGGCACATGTTCATTCTTTTTCTCTCATTCTCTCACCCCACATCCCACCCAGAGTAAATAATGTTAAGTGTTAATCTTGGATCTGGGTGGAACTTGTGCACCTTGGAGAAATTAATGACCCAGCAGCGTGGTGGGTCAGATGGGATGGCGGTAGGAGGGAGACTGCTAATAGACGAAGCGGGAGGGGAAGCCACCAACAGTGTGTGGATTTCCTTTGTAAATGTTAGACCAATGGATCTACCTAGACTAGGAAGAGATCAACTGAGATAAGTGGGATTGGGATACATGATGGGAAATCTGCAAAGAATCAATAAAGGTTGCTTATTGAGAAAAAAAAAAAGAGAAGAAATCAGGCTGACCTTGCCCAAGGAGATCTGGATGATTTTGCAAAACAAAGAAAGCAGAGTCCTCCAGAAGAACTCAGCACACATCAGAAGCTTTAGCACATGTACTCAGTCAGCACCACACCATCTCAACACTTCCCAAGCCCATTTTCACAAGTGAAATGACCAGGCACAGTGGCCATTGCCATCCCAAGCCTGGGGAGGTAGAGGCAGGAGAATCAAAAGTTCAAAGTCACTCTCTTTGAGTTTAGACTCTGTCTCCAAAAAAACAAAAAGGACAAGTGACTGGAATATGGAGAGCACTGCCTCTCAAGTCTGTTTAGTCAGAGAGCAGGAGGAGCAGAGAAGATCAAAACGCCAGACATTGCAAAGATGGGGTTCCCTTCATTTATGGTATGCCTGAGTCCCTGAAGTCCTCGGTACCACCTACCCACAGATCTTATTAGCTGGCCTTGAAGACTCCTTTACACTTAAAATGAAGGTCTTGGCTATTTCATGAAACACTAGTTATTAGCTCTGAACTTTAAATATAAACACAATCTCTGATCTTACTCTTATTTGCTTTATGTTTCTAAGCATAAAACTACCCACGGACTCACCTTTCCAATTTTTGTTGCAGAACCTGTATTTCCTCCTTCAACTTTCGAACACTCTCTCTCTTATTTCGAATAAGCTCTTTGCTCTTGTACATGTACCTAAGCAAATGATAACCCATGGATAGAAATATTAGCAAATATTAATGACAATTCTCAGTGAAGAAGACTTCCTCAAACAGGCAGTCACAGAATAACCAATAGTATATATTGTTTTTACTTTGGTTTTTGACCTGAGACAGAATCTCACAGCTCACACTGGTCTCCAACCCCTCTGAGCAATGAGGCGAGGCTGCCCACCCTCTCATCACTGTTACTGAACGCTGGACTGAAGGGGAAGCTGATGTGGTGTGGTAAGACAAAGAAACAAAGGGACAGAGACAGCACAGGAAGCGGAGCTGTTCTCCACAAGACCACAGCAGATCAGTGAGCTTTAGCACAGCCAGAAGATACAGTGTCCATTGAGTGATCAATACAACCAACTTTATTTCTATCTGCTCAAAGAGAACAGAGAGTACAGTTTCAAAAACTCCTAATATCAAAGGCATGATTTATTTAATGATGAACTTAATCATACATACAGAAGGGCTCTACAGCATTAAGACGTCACTGACTTACACGTGAAGTACTATCCAACCAAATGAGAATCCCTGATCTAGCAAGTCAGTAAAATTTCTATGGAAATGCAAGGAGCCAAAAAGCCAAATCAGTTTTGAAGCTGAAGCCACTGACAGTATGCAGATTCTCTTTCGCGCTAAACCAACAAAAAATGCCTAAAGTTTCAGGGGGTATGAGAATGAGATCTGAGATCAATTTGCTTCGTGGATAATATTGGGCGCTCTCTCTCTCTCTCTCTCTCTCTCTCTCTCTCTCTCTCTCTCTCAACACAAGTGGGTCCTCATTAGAAAAGCTTCAGAAAATCCATTTTCCACATGGTGGCTGGAGAATGACAGCCTTCTTTTTTATGTCAAAGCTAAAGGAAATTTTGTTCCCCATTTGGATGAAACAGAAACCTAAGTATAACTAGAAACTTAGTTGAGCCGGGAGGTGGTGGTGTAAGCATTTAATCTCTGTGAGTTCAAGGCCAGCTTGGTTTATAGAGCGAGTTCCAGGACAGTCAGAGCTATAGAGACCCTGTCTCAAAAAACAAAACCAAACAAAATTTAGTTGATAGTCCTATGGGTTTGTCTATATACAGTTTTACCTTGATAATATAAACTAGCACCTGTTTTGCATTCTTTTTTTTATTTATTATGTATACAGAGTTTTGCCTGCATGTATGCCTACACACCAGAAGAGGGCACCAGATCTCATTCCAGATGGTTGTGAGCCACCATGTGGGTGCTGGGAATTGAACTCAGGACCTCTGGAAGAGCAGACAGTGCTCTTAACCTCTGAGCCATCTCTCCAGCCCGTGTTTTGCATTCTTTACGCTATTGGTTTACAGCATCCATGGAAATAAGATAAATGTTTTGAACCCAGACTTATGCCTAGCTACTCAATCACATTATTCTAGGAGATTCTCAGAAATATAAAACTCAAACCTGGATTCACAGAATCGAACTGTGCACATTATCCTGATGTCCAGGTGATCTCCATACACAAATAGAGTCATTTCTACTGTTGCACTGTACATCACAAAGTCAATCGAACCAAGACTCACCTATCCATATAAATAATCTGAGGAAATTCCAGCTTATTATGAATTTTCTCTGGCTGCCCAAGAGATTGGTTAAACTCAAATCTTGAGAGTTCAAAGGTCAACACTGGAGGTAGTTTGGTAAACCAACGCTATATCCAAGGTAGAAACATGGAGAAAAAAAAATTAATTTCAGGAAATATTCTTCACCAAACTTTTTTTGATATGGAATTTATATTTAAGTCAAATTAATATACAGCATTTTATCTCACATACTAACCTTAAATACTTAGAATCATATTTGGCGAGTAAGGTTAAACATTCCTCAGCCTCCAAATTTACTACCTAGTCACCAGTATTGCATTCAACCATCATCCTTAGAAATAACCACTGAGGAACAGAAGAACTAACCAAGCACCAACACAAATCACTCCATAAACACCAGCCATTCAACATTAACAGCCTAACCAAAGAACTAGAAACTACAATCCCAAAAGCATATAATTAGATAATTGCAGCCAATAATCATCTAAAAAGACAAATACTATAAATATATCATGTACTATTTCTTCACAGCTAACTACTGTTTAAATCCTGTTTATGTATAAAAGGGAAATTTATAATAGTCTCAGGAAGTTGTAATTCCCCGTGTTTCTGAGGAAAATAATGTCTTCCAGTACAGAGTTCTGAGAAGAAAGCCAGTCAAGTGAACCTACAATGGTACCCAGAGTTCCAGAGTAGCAAACGACTGGCTTCATAGAATGAAAAGAACCCATTTTAACACACTGACCACAGCTCAGGAAAAGCTGCACCAGCAGAGGAAGTTCGCTCAGTTCACTCACATGCCAGAGGTTCCGAGGGTGGTTTTAAACATTCCTTTACCAAGGGTTCAGTGGTGCTCCCTTCAGGGACCCTGATGGTACCAGGTGAATAGACTGACTACCTCACACCTGAATCTTTTATCTTCCTTCTTTGCTTCTTGAGACAGTCGCACTCTGGAACTCACTAAGCAGCCAAAGCTGGCCTTGAACTTGCAACAATCCTGATTAATCAGTCTCTTAAGTGGTGGAATACAAGCATGAACCACCTTGCTTGGCTCTTCTGGGTTAAATCTAACTAAACAAGGCATAATGACTTCTGCTAGGGTTTTATTTTTACAGACTTCCCATCCTTGGATACTGCGTAAGTAGTAAACAATAGGAGAGAAAGCATCAACTGGCCACATGGTATGACTCCTGCTAGGAAGCACCAGGAATCCATTCTTTCCTGGAGAAGCTGAGGAGGAAGCTCTCCATATCCCAGCACCTTCTAGAGCTAACACACCTCCACAAGCTCATGTCACGCACCCTATTTTAGTTCAAGTCAATTTCTCCTACCATAAATCTTGAGTTGGACAGTTCCACAAGCCACAATTTTGCCTCAAAATGTATGAGAGGGGAATAAACCAAACGAGGCAATAATGACAATTATGCTACAACGCTGTTCGCTAATTCCTGCCTAACTGAACTAATTACTAACTATCCTAACAAATATTAATTATCTGTGTGTTAACCACACTTTCCAATCCATCAAAAAACAAGAACCCCACATAAATAAATGAATTAAATTTTAAAAATGTAAAAGCAAAGGTAGAATTTACAACTGAGAACAATAAATACTATAATGGGGAAAATATTCTAAATGGCATACCATAGGAGTTAATCACTTTTACCCTCCAAAAATATGGAGGCAGTGCGTTCTCCCTACTCAGGTACAGGTAGGCTTCAACAGAAAGAGAGAAACTTGATCATACTGGAAATATCAGAAGCAGCATAAACCTTTACATGAGTAACCTAAATTCAGTTTCAGCAAAGATCTTTATCAAAACATGAAGACTCACTGATTCACATCAACTGGTGAAAGAGAAAAGACAGATTCAAGTTCTGTTCACGTTACCTAATTTGTATTTCAAACCTGTTTGCCTAAAAGTTCAATCCTACTTAAGTGGCTTTGTCTCTGGCAGAACAAGCAAAAATATACACCTTACCTCTTGTCCATACTTCACCGAATGATCGGAAGGAAGCAGCGCAATGTCACCTTCCACCATGGCCCCTTCCAAACATTCGTCTAAGTTGCGATAACCGTTTACCTGGAGAGGATACTGGCCGAAGGTCTCGTTGTTACAAAATGGCTTTCCTAGGCAAAGAAGGTGGGTGTTAAAGTGTCACTACACCACTTAAAGTCTACTTCTCTGGCTCCACTAAGACAGCACCTTCTAGAATTCAGTAGTCTCCTGAGAACTGGTTAGAAATACACTTAAGCCAGAGTGGTAACCACCAACGACCCAATGGACCCAGGCATGAACAATGAGCAACCACTAATTCTGCAAAAAGTAAAGCCACCCAATGCACACACACCTCCCAATCAAAGGCCTTCATCAAGAGAGTCTTAGCTGGGCTGGAATAAGACTGTAGAAGATTCAACCACTTTACAAGAGGGGCAGAGAGGCCTACGTCAAATGTGAAGTATGTAAGCTAGAAGTGTAAACAGTAAATTTCAGACTGGGGGAGCTCTGGGGTTATTACAAACAAATGTTTCTTTAAAAAATGTGTTTCAATATGGACATAGCGGTACACACCTGCAATCCTGGAATTTGAAAGGCTGAGTATTGAGGCTTCAAGGACATCCTGAACTACATAATAAGTCTCTGCCTCAAAGAAACACTAACACAAAATATTTCAAGTAAAAAAAAAAAAAAAAAAAAAGGATGGGGCTGAAGAGATGGTTCAGTGGTAAGGAGCACTTACTGATCTGAAGGTCCTGAGTTCAATTCCCAGCACCCACATGGCAGCTCACAACTGTCTGATGCCATCTTCTGGTGTGCAGATGCACATACAAAGTAGCCATATACATAAAATGCATAAATTAAAAAAGGGTTTAAATGGAGCCCACATATACTGAAATGACACTTGCCAACCAGTCATACATGAATCACACTTGGAGGATGAGGATGTAGCTGAGTGGACACCACTGACTCAATATGGCCAGTCCTGGGTTGCATTCCCAAAGGGAGGGAATTTCAGTATCGATTAGAACAGACTCAGAGGTTAAGATGAGAGTTCCAGGTCAGCCCTTGCTCCTTTGTGTGGGGGAATGGGAGTATGTGTGTGTGGGGGGGTGGATTTACTAACCCATGCAGGCACATGTGTTATCAAGTTGACTTGGGGCATCTTCCTCAAATGGGGGTAGTCTCACAAAAAATATGACTGTGTTGGTTAGTTTTATGAAAACTTGACACAAGCTAGAGATATCAGAAAGGAGGGAAACTCAATTGAGAAAATGCCTCCATAAGATCCTGTTGTAGAAAATTTTCTTAGTGACTGATGAGGGAGAGAGGCCCAGTGCATTTCAGATGGTGCCATCCTTACACTGGTGGTCCTGGGTTCTATAAGAAAACAGGCAGGGGCTTGAGAGATGGCTCAGCAGTAAAGAGTACTGGCAGCTCTTCCAGAGGTCCTGAGTTCAATTCTCAGCAACTACATGATGGCTCACAGACATCTATAATGGGATCTGATGCCCTCTTCTGCAAGGAGGTGTACATGCAGATAGAGCACCATATACATAAAAATAAACAAATCTTTTTTTTAAAGATATTTTTATGTGCATTGGTGTTTGCCATGGGTGTTGAGTCCCCTGAAACTGGAGTTACAGACAGGTATAAGCTGCCAAGTGGGTTCTGGGAATTGAACCTGGGTCCTCTAGAAGAACCGTCAGTGCTCTTAACAGTTGAGCCATCTCTCCAGCCCCCAAATAAATATATCCAAAAAAAGCAAGCAAGCAATCAGGCTGAGCAAGCCATGAGGAGCAAGACAGTAAGCAGCATCCCTCCTTGGCTTCTGCATCAACTCTTGCCTCCAAGTTCCAGCCCTGTCCTGACTTTCTTCAGTAACAGACTGCCAATGTAGAAGTGTAAAGCAAAATAAACCCTTTCCTCTCCAACTTTTTGCTTTTGGTCATGGTGTTTTTTTTTCACAGCAATAGTAACCCTAGCTAAGGGCTTTTTTTTTTTTTAAATTAAAGATTTATTTATTTATTATGTATAATGTTTTGCCTGCATATATGCCTCTATGCCAGAAGAGGGCACCAGATCTCATTATAGATGGTTGTGAGCCACCATGTGGTTGCTGGGAATTGAACTCAGGATCTCTGGAAGAGCAGCCTGTGCACATAGCCATCTCTCCAGCCCGACAAGGACATTTTAAAATTATGTATATAAATTGAGAATTTGAGTAATAACTAGATATTTGACATTTAAAATGCTCACTTTTGGAGAACTCGAATGTGGAGATTTAATGAGGACTGTCCCTTACAGGCTCAGGAATCTGAACTTCCTCCCCAGTTTGTGCACTGTTTATTGTAGGTTTAGGACTTGATGGAGGAAGCACATCATCCAAGGTGGCCTTATGGAGTTCATAGCCTCATCTTACTCCCAGTTTGCTTTCTCTGCTTCAAGCCTGCAGTTAAAAATATTATCTCAGCTTCCTGTTCCTGCCACCCTGCTGCTGACTGCTGCCAAGCCTTCCCACCATGATGGACACTTATCCTTCTGGAACAGTAGTCAAAATTAAACTTCATAATTTGCTTTGGTCATGTAATTTTATCACAACAGAGAAGTAACTAATGCAGAACTTGGTACCAGAAAGTTGCTATCTTGTTGGCTTATTGCTATAAGAACCTGACCATGCTGTTTTGGGAAGGAATGTGGAAGACTCTGGAACTCTGAACTAAAAAGTGTTGAATGTTACAGGCAGAGCTTAGTACTATAGTACTAAGAGTAATGAGGACTATGGAGGCTTGGCTCTAGAGGTTTCAGAGGGAAGCCAGGACGAACAGCACCCAGAGGCCAGTCCTGTGATATTTTGGCAAGAATCTAGGCTGCCTTCTGCCCTTGTCCTAGGAACTTGCCCAAGGCAAAATTAAAGCGTAATGAACTGATTTCTTTGGCAGAAAAAAATTTCAAGACTGCATAATGCTGAATTTATGGCATGCTTATTATTGTTAATGCTTGCACAGGTCTACTGTGAAAAAAAAAAGTGGGGCAGAAAGAATACAAAATGTTTAGTTTGGAGAATTACAGTCAAGGTACATGCTGGAAGAAAGGCTGTAATTGTTAGGAGATCAATGCCTTTAAGGAGATGCCTGCTCTGTGCTAGGACAAAGAGAAGGGCTTCTTCAGGGCAAGACCTTGCCCAGCAAGCTTCCAACTTGTAACAGAGAGCTCCCAGAAAGCAAAAAGAACGAAAGCTCTGCTAAGGTGATTCAAGGAGGCAAGGATCCATCCCAATCTGAAAGCCGAACTTGGCGATAGCTGTTGTACATGTGGTGCTGACTTGAAAGACATTAAGCCCTTTAAAGCTGAAGTCTCAGACACCAGACATTGAGCTACAGGATTTGGCATTTGTCCTGATGGGTTTTGGTCTTGTTTTGATCCAGTATTTCCTCACTATGCCCCCATTCCTCCCTTTTGGTATGAGAATGAGTATTCAGTGCCATTATATGTTGAAAGTATGTAATTTGTCCTTTGATTTTATAAGGGGTTACAATTAAGAGACTGTCTTGAGTCTCAGAAGAGACTATGGACTTTTAAATAGTGTTGAAGACTGTGAAAGACTATAGAAGACTTTGAAGTCAGACTAAATACATTTTGCATTATGATATGGCCATGAACCTCTAGGAGCCAGGGAGTAGAATGTAGTTTAAATGAGAAATGTCTCCAACAGGTTCAGGCATTTGAACACTTGGACTCTAGTTAGTAGTGCTGTTTGGGGAGGCCGAGGAGATAGCCTTGTTAGAAGTACGTCACTGGAGGTTGGCTTTAAGAGGTCACAGTTTTTTCCCTGCTTCCAGCTGCTTTGGCTGCTTCAGCCTTGCAGTTAAAGGTGTAATCTCAGCCGGGCGGTGGTGGCGCAAGCCTTTAATCCCAGCACTCGGGAGGCAGAGCCAGGCGGATCTCTGTGAGTTCGAGGCCAGCCTGGACTACCAAGTGAGTTCCAGGAAAGGCGCAAAGCTACACAGAGAAACCCTGTCTCGAAAAACCAAAAAAAAAAAAAAAAAAAAAAAAAAGGTGTAATCTCTTAGCTTCCTGCTGCCATGTTGTCCCCACTATTATGGATTCTAACCCTCCAGAACCATAGGCCAAAACATTTTCTTCTGTAAGTTTCCATGGTCATGGTATTTTTATCACAGCAATAGAGTAATGCTAATATATGGCAGTACTGGGTTATGTTTCTAATATTATCAGGGGCCGTCGGTGTAGCAGTAAGAATGCAGCATAAATTCTGGGTTCAAGTCCCAGTAACAAAAATAAACACAAACAATACATTTAAAAACTAAGCCTCAGTGGTGGTGCAGGCCGGGAATCCCATGGGAGGCTGATGCAGGAGGACTGGTGTGGATCTGAAGTCTCACCCTAGGGTGCACGTAAATTTTAGGCTAGCCTACATTATGTATGAGATCTTGTCTCAAGAAATAAAAACAACAGCAACAAAACACCTCACACACTCTTAACAAACCACATCAAAACACCAAACATCAAAAATGAATAAAAATGAGGGAGAAGAGCAGACAGAGGTTATGCAGGGAATGGTTGGCTGTGGGTTCACAAGCTGCTGAATTCAGAGATTTTGATACCATTCAATTTGTACATAGTCAAAATCCTGCAACTAAAAAATAAATAAATAAATAACAAATAAAGAAATAAATAAAATAAAAGTTGCCAGGCAATGGTGGCGCACTCCTTTAATCCCAGTACTCCGGAGGCAGAGCCAGGTGGATCTCTGTGAGTTCGAGGCCAGCCTGGTCTACAGAGCAGGAGCCAGGACAGGCACCAAAACTACACAGAGAAACCCTGTCTCGAAAAACCAAATAAGTAAATAAACAAACAAATAAATAAAAGTTATGTGCCCAGCCAACAGTTTACCTAAATATTCAGTGCAGACAAGCATTTCTGGCAGTTTGACTCCATAAAATCTGAGATTAGATGTTCCATCAGGAAAAGCAACAGAAGAAATTAAGTAGCATCACTGCCATCAACACAGATGTCACACAATTTAACATGACAGTTCTAGGACAAAGACTGTGTCCACTGCACAGATGAGACTAAGGATGCTGGAGCTCCAGACTGTGTGTCCATAGTCACATAGAGAAAAGCAGAGCCACTGTTCAGGCCAGGGTTTGCGGGACTTTCAGATCTATCCTGTCTCCCTGAAAGGACACAGCAGTAAGGACCAGTCACAGATAAGAACCAACCCACAGGACAGACTTTACCTTCTCGAACCCCTTCTGTCAGGAAAGTACCATAGAACAGCTGCACCATGGGATTTTCAGATTTATTCCTGGGATTGCTGGGAGAGAGAGACAATTCTGTGTCAGCTGAATAAATACATGTTCACAAAACCCAAGTGTATTCAGAAACAACAGTAGTCTACTTTCATTAACCACAGGCTGCCACATGGCAGCTAAGGAAGCAAGGGCTTACTTAGTTCAGTGTAGACACTAACTGACAAGAAGATGCCTGGCACTGTGCTGGAAATGCAATGTGTGAACCCTGACCTTCAAAGTATTCGTCTTTAGGATGTTAGGGAGTCACACATGGTGACAAATGTATCTATACAAATGTTTATAGACATTTGAGATAGACACCCATGCCTGATGATATGTATATATAAGGTAGATAATAGCTGAGTAGTAAGGAATGGACTCCCCAGAGTTGTACAATAGAATTAGGATGCAAATTTTCTTTTCCTAAAGCCTATCTTACATTGTAGTGACTCTGCAAGTTCCCAGCTGCAAACTATTTCATGATACTTTTATTCTCCAACCTCAGACTTCAAACTATTTTCAAAAGCAGGTTCTTGGCAGCCACATCAGAATGATACATGTCCTTGTGGCCCTGTCTGGGGTGAATGACCCCAATTCTCCGTGAATACTAAGGAGATGCCACAGGTGAGTGACATTAAATCTAATGGTTCCATATCATACACCACATCCACATCTAGGACTCATTTACCTGCTTTTAATCACATCTTATAACCACTCAGTTAGTTGGGGATCTTTCACGAGAAAGGAAGAAAAGGCTGCAGGTTAAGGGGACAATCTAGATCACTGGAGGGAAAGCCAAAACAGGACTACACAATGAGGAATAGCTCAGTGGCCACCAAGAGGTTTGGAAAACACCAGCAATTTCTACTTGAGAAGAGTGACTTTCCCCCACCATAATTCTCAGTGGTCAATGTGAGTCGGAAGGATGTGCAGACAAACCCTCAACACTCACTTAACATTAACAGCTAGCTGGAACGCATCCTCCAGCCAATCCAGGAGCTTGTGTGTGAATTCACTCACATCTTGCTATAAGAGAGGCACAAATTGCAGTAAGTTAGATGCAATACTGTACTCAGGGAAACGAAGGTTTGCCCTTAAGCCCACAATAAAGATTCTACTCCTATGACATAATTTCCTTTTTAGGGGCCAAACTTGCATAAGACACAGGAACAGGGGAGCCCAGTGACTAGAGACAAACTGCAGGGCATTAGTGAGATCTGACTAAGCTAGGTCAAGAAGGAAGTGGAACTCTGTAGGGCTGGCCACATCTGTGTGTGACAGAAAAATAAACACCATCTCCTATTAGGTATTTTTTAAAAAGACCCAAAGAGCAGACGAGAGTCCTCTAGAATGCTATGAAAACTGATGGAGAAAGGCAGCTTTACACACTGTCTTGAGAACGCTGGTTCACTACGTGGCCATTAACTGGAGAGCAGGTTAACACTATATGCAGAAAGAGGCCAGTGCAACAGCTTGGAGTTTAGTGGCAGGTGGAGAAAGTAAAGATTCCATGACTAAAGGAGAAGATTGCTCAGAAAAGCTGCAGAATTCAGCTTTAGGTGGTTTGAAAAAGGATTTCTATCCCAGAGTGATGTTGCAAGCCTGTAATTCCATATTCAGAAGGCTGAGACTTGATGGAGGATCAGGAGTTCAAAGTCCACCTGGGTTCAATACTGAGATTTGTCTCAAAATCCAAACCAAATTAAGATTTCTACCTGGGCCATCAGACAAAGGACTTGACTTTTCTCAATTATCCTTTGCTATGGTTCACTGAATTACTTTTCAAATTTCTTCCTGCTTCAACAGCCTCTGTTAACTCTGGTTTGTTTTTTTTTTAATCCCCCTGGTTATTGGAGATATCTTTCTAAGTAGCCTTAGATGGCTTAGAGCTCACTGTGTAGGCCAAGTTAGCTGCCAAAGTGCAGTAATCTCCTCCTGCCTCTGACACCCGTGGACTGGGATTCAGGCATGACCCATCAAGCCCAGCTAGGCTGCTACTCTTTCTCCCACCATTTCTTCCTCCTTCGGCAGTGCCAGTATCCTGTGTAATTCTCATTCATGCCATGGACTGCCAGAACCCCGTGTTACCTCTCACTCATGCCCACGGACACACAGCATGCACTCACTCTCTCTCAGCACATTTTCTGAGAGTAAAATAAAGGGCAAATGAGGTACTTGCAGCATCCTGCCTAGATTTGTTCAGAGCCTGTCACACAATAATAATGAAAACAGCAGTATCACATTAGCAAAGGGTGACTTCAAATACTCAGGCTTGAAATAAAACAAGAGAACAAAACTACCAAGTACCTGCTGCTCCTCTGATGACCGGAAGGCTCCCTTCAGCAGATCCAGGGCTGCAGAAGGATCTACAAATTTTCGATTTGATCCCAACAACAGAGCAAACAAATACTGAAGCTCTTGCATAAACATGATATTTCTCTTTTCCTATAGAAAACACAGTCACCTTATAAGATCTCATTTGGAAAGTTTGAACAAATAAAGAGAACAGTTATCAATAACCACTCTCTAATTCACATTTACCAAGCTCTAGGTCAGTTAGACTAACAAAGAGGGGCCAGATAAGGACAGCAAGGTGTTACTCTAGAGCAAAGAGGAAGAAGCCAGGGGACATGCTGTGGAGCAGACAGAATACTCTGATATTTGAGCTGTCCACCACCTTAAGAGAATGCACTACAGCAAGGTGGTAAGAGGAATGCAATCAGAGCACACTGAAGTCTCTAAGAAGGGCCAGGCCTCTGCTCTGTATCCCTTTACCTCAGCAGCCAATGGCGGAAGAGAGGGTAGCATCTGGAACAGAGGTTCTGAGTGTCCCCAGGACACAGCACAGCACTAAGATCAGCACAGTACCTCACTGCTGTTGGGACTGTTTTCCTAATTGTATTCCTACTAACTGGTCACCTTCCTAAACCCTTATCCTTACACAAAGGAGGGAAGAGAGACTTAACAATGACATGAGTATCAGCACAAGCCAAAGTCTATCACAGTCAGCACATTCAGTCCAGCAACATAGAATCTGCCTCAGAGCCAACTTACAGTGTGACTTCGACAGTTTTCAAGTATGTTCTGTGGTAGACTATAGCTGAGAACAAGTCTTCGGAATTCAGGCAACTGAAAGAGAGACTAAAAGAAAGAAATTCATTTTCAGCCTCTTCTAAAACAATTATAGTTTTTTGTTTTGTTGTGGTTTTTTTTGTTGTTGTTGTTGTTTTTAAATTAACTAACAGGATCTTATTAGATAATTTAGGCTGGCCTTAAACTCCTGATTCTCCTTCCTCAGCCTTCTGACTGCTGAGACTATAGCATGTATAATTAGAAGTGCAGATGTCAAAGCCAGGCAGGTAGCTCAGTCCATAACCCCAGTACTCAGGAAGCTGAGGCAAAAGGAATACAGCGAGTTCAAGACCATCCTGCGATACTGAATTTCAAGCCAATCACTATACTGTGAAATCCTGTTTCTAAATAAATAAACATTTTCTTTCATTTTTAAAAGTATGCATAACTGTCAACCCAGCAATTTTCTTTAAGAAAATGATTATACACAAAAAATAATATAAACATTAATTCTTTTAGGTGAAAAAACAAAACAAAGCCTAAAAAGAGGAATAAACAATACTAGATTAATACATATAGATATAAACATTAGTAACAGAAAATTATGCCAGGCGGTGATGGCTCACGCCTTTAATCTCAGCATTTGGGAGGCAGAGGCAGGCGGATCTTGTGAGTTCGAGGTCAGCCTGGTCTACAGTGAGATCCAGGACAGGCACCAAAACTACACAGAGAAATCCTATCTCAAAAAACTAAAAAAAAAAAAAAGAAAGAAAATTATGTCATTAAAATGATACTGTAGGTGGGCAGTGGTGGCACATGCCTTTAATCCCAGCACTCAGGAGACAGAGACAAGAGGATCTCTGTGAATCCCAGGCCAGCCTGGTCTACAGCATGAGTTCCAGGACAGTCAGAACTGTTACACAGAGAAACCCTGTCTCAAATATCCCCTCCCCCAAACCAACCCCCCCCCCCCCCAAAACAGATATTGCAGAAGCTGGAGTTAAGAGCACTTGAATCCTGCAGAGGATTGAAGTTTGGTTCCTAGCACCCACAAAGGATGTTGCATATCCACCTGGAACTACAGCTACAGAGAATGCAACATCCTTTTTCTGGTTCCTTGGGCACCTGCATGCACATGGTATGCATATGTAGACATGGACACAAATAAAAACAAATCCTTAAAAAAAAAAGATGTAGAAATGCATCCATAATTTACTTACTAAGCTGCAGGAAATTAAGCTGACAAAAATATGTGCATCAATATGAATAATCTCAGAAATACATTTTCTTGCAGGTGACAGAAGCTGGGCATGCAAGCTCAGGCCTATCATCTCAGCACCCAGGACACTAAATCAGAAGGACTGCCTCATGTTCAAAGCTAGCCTGGACTATACAGTGAGTTTTAGGGCCAACCTGGGCTGCATAGCAAGACTCTGCCTCAATCAATCAATCCATAAATGTTACAGAAAAAGTATAATTCCATTTAAGCTTAAGAACATAAAACTATACCTTGTTTAAGGCTATACACATGTATGATTAGGTCTGTGGGGGCAGAAGGTGCTAACAGACAGGATTCAATCAATAGCACAAGGATCTTATAATACTCATTTTAAAATGACCTGCACATGTGTGTCCCAGTGCACACTCAGAGGCCATAAAAAGTGTTAGGTGTTCCCCTCTACCATTCTCTACATAGTCCCCAGAGTCTGGGTCTCCTCTGGAACCTAGCATGGTTTCTAAGCTCGGCTGGAGCCAGCCAGCCCAATGATCTCCTATCTCCACCCACTTGAAGCTGGGGTTATAGTCATGTGCTAGATGTCTGGCCTGTTACAAGGGATCCAAACTTTGATGCTCATAATTGCACAGTAAAGTGTATTTAACTGCTGAACCATTTCTCTAGTCCTTGTAATACTCACTTATTATCCAAGTTGTAAGTACAGCAGTTTTATTCTGGGGTGTGTGTGTGTGTGTGTGTCTGCTTTAGCTTCCTGAGTCCTAGAACTGTAGGTGTGTACCACCATGCATGGCTCTCAGTCACCCACCTTAAACCTTAAACTGGCCCTCTATTCTTTGATTTCGCACCCCAGTAACTCATAGGTCAGGATTAGACTGCAGTCTTTCCTACTTTAGAATGCTTACATAAACTGTCAGTTCAATGTCCCTAATTCCAAAGTCTGAAACACTTGGGGGTTTTGTATATGATAACCTACTGTCAACTGGTTTTCCTATAACCTTCAACAACTATTCCAAAATCCATCTGTCATTTCACCAACTTCTCAAAAGAAAAAAATATGGCCGAAATCAGTTCATAAAGAAAACATAAGCTTGTTCAGCATCTCTCACATGAGTAAAGGTTAATGGCATTATGAATCTAGTGTGTGTCTGTCTCCACACATACATAAGATAGATGCAGGAAGTAACTGACTGATGAGAGTCCTAATTCTACCTTTTTGTTTGTTTGTCTGTCTGTTTGAAATGACAGGGTCGCATAGGTCTTGGCTGATCCTTAGACTTGCAGCAATCCTCCTGCCTCAGCCTCAAACGTGCTGATTAGATTTGTACCACCTCACCTGCTTTGCTCCCCATGACACACACTTGGCTTTTGAGTTCAAGTGCGTATTTACTGGGGGCTAGGGAAGCAGTCCGCACACATCAGGTAATGTGTGTGAAGTCAGAGGATGACTTGCAGGAGTCCGTTCTCCCAACCCACCCCCACTCTCCATTCTTAACCAGCCAGTTCTAGCAGTCTTGCTCTCTCACATGGGTTATTTATTTTCTACTTTTTTACTCACAAATGTTCTCTAACTATATGACCCAAACCCTAGCCATCGTCACACCTCTGCTTAAAAGTCTCCTTATTGGTCAAGCCATCCCTGACCAAGCCACAGAAGCAGCTGACTCTCTAGCTGAGGCACCCTTACTCTCCTTCACAATGCCTTTGTAGCACTTATCACTGCCTGATTCTGTTGACTGATCAACCCACTGTTTTAAGTAAACTCCAGGAGAGCATGGGCTTTGTTTTAGTCACTTCTGTTTCCCAGGTCCTAATCAGAGCCAGGCACACAGTAAACTATGTTTGAAGTGTTTTGGCTTTTGAGCAGTGGGTTGGATGCCACAGAACCATTTAATGAACAAGGCTGCAGTCAGGGAGAAGGAATGATATTGTGGTCACATGAAGCTTATGGTGCTTGGGAAATACTTTAAGTGCATTTTGTTTTATTGCATTAGTGTCTTGCTTGCATATAATATATGTGTACCATGTGTATGCCTGGTGCCCATGGAGTTCAGAAGAGGGTACTGTACCCCTGCAACTGGAGTTAGGGATAGCTATGAGACACCATGAGGGTACTGGGAACCAAACCCAAGGTCCTCTGCAAGACTAACAAGTGCTCTTAACTGCTGAGCCATCTCTCCAGCCATGGGAAATACTTCTTGATAGCTAGTTCTCTCTAAGGAAATTCACCTACCTGCTTGGCTTTACTTCAACTCTTATAGTATTCTTTTCTGACCTAGAAATGCATACAGTTAAATTAACTCCTATGTAGCATCTCATACAAGGATGTAAAACACAGGCATCGTGAACTGAGTACATCCACAGCCTTACTGGCAGCTTCCAGCACACACAAACTACTCCTCTTATGTCAAACAGCACTCAACCACCTGGTTATTCCAGCGAGACCCTGCAATCTTTCTCATTCTTCTCTTGCAGGATTTTATCCCCCAAAAGAGTGTTTTCACATGGCTGAGGATGTGGCTCGGTAATAGAGTGCTTGTCTAGCACACACAACACCCTGGAGTAGATAGATGGATGTGTCTATACCTGTATTTATACTGAATTCATGCAGATAGCTGGCATAGTGGTACATTCCTATAATGGTAGTACATCCCTGTAATACCAGCATTTGGCAGACACAGGCAAAGAATCACATATTTAAGGCCAGCCTGGGCTACATAATGACAGAGTCTTTTTACTTCTCTCTTTCCAGGATACCTATCTGCTATGCCTCTACTCCAGGCTACCCTCAACAGTACTCATTAACTGCTGACCCTAAACACTTAATATATTTGTATTTCAGAACTTCCCAGTTTAGACATCATAAATTCGCAATCCAAAACACACAAAAGTAACTACAGTGTGTTCTTATACATGTATGCCAAGTAGAGATCAGACAATTTGCAAGAGTCAGTACTTTTCTCCCACTATGTGGGGTCTTGATCAAACTCATGTCACCGAGCTTGACAGCAAGTGCCTCTATCCACTGAACCATCTGGCTAGCCTTGTTTTAACTTTCTGAAGTCATACTTCATATCTTTCATTTCAGCAAGTTACTAAATTATATCCAGAAGAAAATAGCTCTTAAAAACACCATACCTGAATAACAGCACTGAACCAACATGTGTTGCCAACATTTTTCAGCCCAACTGGCCAACCATCCACTCTCCTCCAGTTATTGGGATTGTGGTTTTCTCCCCAAACTTCACAGCGTTTTCGCTTTGAGCGTTTAGTTTCTGCAGAGTTTGTCTCATGCATTCTGTAGTATGCCCACACCACATATCAAAAGAAAAAAAAAAAAACAGTTTAAAGAGTGATTTACTGCACAGAGGATGATATTGGTAATGTTGCAGATGATTCAAATGCCAGAAAAACCATCCAGTGGACAACCACTGGCTATATAACAGTTCCTCATGTACATAAAAATCGAGGTTTAAATTCAAACTGAAGCCCTTCCTTAACAGAGACTATTTCTAGTAAGATCCTCAATGAAAATGAGTTGAGATTCAAGGCTATTCAAGCCTCCCACATTAAAGGTTTTCATTCAACCATGATATCCTATAAAAGGGCTTGCCAGTGAAAGGGGGAAAGAGGCACTGTGCAAAAGCTAAGAGCCTCCAAACTGCCTAGCACAAAATACTCTGTTCTATGTTTCTCTGAAAAAGAAATTCAAGAGGTATAAGGAAACAAGTCCAGAAATCAAAGCAAGTTTACAGTTGGATGTCTGTGAACCACACAAGACAAGTACCATATCAGTGCCAATGCTAACATCATATCCTCTGCTCACCTGAGACAACGGTATAGCCCTCAGCCTGTCAGTGGCTATATTTATCAGGCACTTAGGCTAGGCTGTTGTTTTTCCTTAGTAATTGGAAAAAACAAAATTTTGTAGGCTTCTACTCAAAATCCTCCATGCTTGGCTTTTCAAAGTGAACTAAAAGCCAGAGTGGTGGCACACATCTGGAATCCCAGCACACTGGAGGATCAGGGAGAAGGGTCATAAGTTCCAGGTCACTCTGAAACTCAAAATCAAAAACAAATAAACAAAGACAGGCAGATAGACGGATTGTTGGGGGGGGGGGGGGACGACAACGATGATGACAACTGAATAATAAGCTAAAATTGCTCCTTAAAGAAACTTGATCTTGGTGCAATAAAGGAACAGAATGACCCCTGAGTGAGTAGCTTTCCCAGAACATAATACAACAAAGCAACAAACCACAGGGAACAAAAAGCATAAATTAAAGCAACAACCTATTAAGTTCTCTGCCATCAGTTTGAATCTTAGGAGACTCCAGTAGACTCAATGCAATGGCTGCCTGAAGGTCATCTTTGTTGTCATGAGTAAGGTCTATCACTTCTGTTAGGAAATAGAAATGTGATTAGTTTGTGTATAGGAAGTAAGAAAAGATACAAACATTTTCTAAATCATACATATTCCCTAGGTCTCACCACAGGGGCTCCTCTGAACACAATCCTGTAACTGTCTAAAGTCAAACAAACAACTTATCATTGAACTGTAATCTTACTCTCCCCAACAGTTCAGAAGTAAGCGACTAATACAATGCATCAGGGACTGGGAAATGGATCTCTGCTTAGTGCATGCTGCTTAAGCATAAAGAAAGAGCTCAGATCCCAGCATCTACGGAAAAGGATAGGCATGCTAAGTACATGCCTACAATCTCAGTCCTGGGAGGCAAGGAAAGTAGGATTCCAAAAGGACTTGCCTAGCCAACTGATGAGTCCAGGTTCAGTGAGCAGCCCTGTCTCAAAAAATAAATAATGTCGAGGTGCTGGAGCTCAGCAATTACTAGCACCTATTGCTTTTGCACAGGACCCAGCACCCACATGGTGGCTCACAACCATCCGTAACTCCAGTTCTAGGGATCCAATACCCTCTTTTGGCCTCTGAGGAGCACTCAGCATGTACACACAAGCAAAACATTCATATACATAAAAATAAGTAGAACTTTAAAAATAAATAAGGTAGAATGTGATAAACAAAGACATCTGAAGTAAACCTCTGGCCTACAAACACACACAGACACACACAGACACACACAGACACACACACACACACACACACACACACGCACGCACGCACGCACGCACGTACTAAATAAAATTCACTAACATTCCACAAACTCAAAAATACTTTCTGTATCTCGAGGTTAATAACTTTTACCATTTTAAAACATCATCAGCTACATATAAAATATCCTAGCAAAGGATAGTCAACTGCTTTCTATAGTGAACGGAGGACACGCTTTATGAAGTTGACCTATGACCTAGTAAGCATACTAAAACTATAAAACTAGTCAAGAAGGAAAAACCATGTAAAGTCAGCCTGGGTTACACAGTGAAACAACAAGAGAGAAACCATTTCAAAGCTTGAACTCAGGCCTGGCTCTCAGCAAGGGCTCAGTGACTAGTCAAAGGGTCAGTGTGATAAATGAGGAATCACAGTCACTATCTTCTGCTAGTACAAAGAAGGACCAGGACAGGCGAGACCTACTTGCTAGCAGTTCTTTGTTGGTAGCGCTCCCTTCACCTTCAGGTGATTCGGTAGCAGCTGGGTCATGACCGGGCTCCTTAACTCTCTGGTCAGTGAGAAGGCTGACAGCCTGGGTGATGTCACCATTACTGGCCTAAGAGGAAGAAAAATAATCACAAAATCCAAAAGGAAAGCATGGCAGAACTGGCAGTGAGCAGCATTGGGGTGTTACTCTTACTCTTTTACTACCATGGTGACACAGTGAGTCAGCCTAGGCATGGCTCCGGGGCAGAGAGCAGAGGAAGACAGTGAGGGCAGGAAGACAGTGAGGGCAGGAAGACAGTGAGGGCAGGAAGCCTGAGGCACCTGGAGCTCCATCAAGTGACAGGACAGGACTCAAGGTGCTCGCATTTTCACAACAAGGAAAGCAAACCACAGCCTCCATGGATGGTGCAGTCACGGCTCCAGGAGCCTAACTTCACAGACCAGTTATGGCACAGTGAGTCACAAAAGGGGACTGGGAGCCAACACAGGTGACAAGTCAGCCTGGACAGGAGAGTCATGAGTAGGCACTGTATTTTATAAAGGAGGCATATCCGTTTCAAACTTCTTACCAGGAAAATATTCGAAAAGGTACAACAATAGAATGAAGAACCGAACCTCTTACACCCACTGCTTGCCCTCAACATTCTCCAGTCACAGCCAGTCATGCTTTATCTACACTGCCTACACCTGCTGGCTATTCTGAAGCTAAGTGTCTTACCATTTCCTTGGGTAACAGTTAGAATGTATCTTTTCAAATTATAACCAGCAATGCTTACGAATAACAACATCACACCTGAAGAGCAGTCAACTTCTCTGCTGGAATATTTTTTAGTTTTTTGTTTGCACTGAGGATCCATATAAGGTCTACACACACGAAGCACATGATGACGAGATTCCCATAGGCTTCCCCAACTTTAAGTTCCCACCATCTTCTTAACATTTCTCTATTGAGGAAACTAACCATCTGACCTGTAGGGTTTCTGTTCCTACGTTCTGGCCTGGTATAAAAATAGCTTGAACTGACACACCTGTGAGGTGGAAAGCTGTTTCAGAGCCTGTCGGCTAAGCTGGGACTGGAAACCAACCTTTAATGCTTCATGAAGGAAGGAAGGATCCTGGATGCCTGTGATTTCTCGCAGCTGATTTAACAGCATCTGGCAGCTCTGTTTTTGAGAAACAAATAAAATCATATCAGTCAGAAAGCAGACCTGGGTACCTCTCGGACAGACAAGCCCGAGTCTTGCGTTTTACACTTTAAAGCGCTGACAAGCTCCACAAGCCAGTTACTGATGGTCAGACACGTTCTAAAATGCAGACTCTATCATTCTGTCACAGAAAATACTCTGAGCAGTTACAAGAGAAATATGACTCCACAGAAAACTCCAAATACCGACGGGACAGTCGAAATTGGGCAGCCTTGAGGAGCCTTGGGCTCTCCTCCCTGGGACAGTGCGTCAGTAGGTCAGATAAGGAGTCCAGGGAATCTGCATGGATGTGCGGATGAGCTATTTTAAGCTTTACTGTGGATGCCATTTGTGTGTGTGTGTCATTTTTCACTGACAATAAGCTTCTAACCATGTAATTAACAAATGGCTGGTACCACTACCTTAAAAAGGAAGTGTAGCTAAAGCTAGCACTTTCTGAATTATCAAGTAAGACGTATAATTCCAGAAGAATGAGCTATGGAATGAATGCTTCCATTAGTCTGAACCACGGAGAAACCTAACTAACATCCAGCCACACAGAATATCTTAAAACCCTTTCTCGGCCTTAAGTGCTCACACTTCCATCCTGTTTAGCAGTCAGAGCCAATACAAAGCACCTACGGACAGGGACAGCTCAACAGAGACAACGGGCTGGCCAACATGAGACACGATGGTCTTTCAGTCAACACTGAAACGGAACAGTTATAGGTTATGCCAGTAAGCAACAATCTCATTTATTCCGCACTACGGTTGTGCCAGAACAACACTGCAGGCCTCACCAGGAAGGTCACTCAGTCATGGCTCCATTTACTGCCAGCTGTAACCGAAACAGTGTCCTGCGGTCTCCAACAGCTGAGGGCCCGCTGGCAACACTTAAGTACCACAACTAGAAACAACTGACTGGACTGGAAAGGGGCTCAGAGCCTTTCTCTGGTCACAAATTCTCCGGTCAGAAGCTAGAAATGACTCTTCCCACTCAGGCAGCAGTCTTCAATACTATGGGTCCTGACAATCCCAGCCGCCAAAAATGGGCTGGTTATCAGGCCAGAGGGGCTGAGGTTCAGGCTTGGTAAAAAACAGAAAATGTAAGCTTTTTTTTTTTTTTTAAATAAGGCATTAATTTCCTTCCAGATGAATTCTAATTCCATTGATTTCACCATGTTTAAAAAAAGTGTTTGGCCGGGCGGTGGTGGCGCACGCCTTTAATCCTAGCACTCGGGAGGCAGAGCCAGGCGGATCTCTGTGAGTTCGAGGCCAGCCTGGACTACCAAGTGAGTTCCAGGAAAGGCGCAAAACTACACAGAGAAACCCTGTCTCGAAAAACAAACAAAAAAAAAAGTGTGTGAATCTATGAATCTAGAGTCTACAAAATTTTCTGGAAAACAAAAATCAACAAACATACTCACGCCGGGCATCGGTGGTGCACACCTTTAATCCCAGCACTCGGAAGGCAGAGCCAGGCAGACCTCTGTGAGTTCGAGATCCAGAACAGGCACCAAAACTACACAGAGAAACCCAGTCTCAAAAAAACCAAAAAAAAAAGATTAAAAAAAAAAAAGAAAAACAAGCATACCCCCAAAGTCACGGAAGAAGGGAGGGGACAGGAGGAGCCTGATAATATCAAACTAGAACAAAGGCAGAAATGAAAAACAGATCCCAACAATCACAACTTAATCTGGAATTGCTGAGCGCCATCAACCACCATGATGCATAGAGACAGTAACAGTCTCAGCAAGAAGTGTTTGCTAACATAACCACTTACTTATAGCCTTGTGCTGTTCTCAAGGGTCTGCAAGCACTAAATGATGCTGATTTCACCCAACTATCACAGCAAACCCTCCTAAGAAACCCGTGTAAGAAATAACTTACACAAAGTTATTGCTGAGGTGGGTGTGCTCGAAGGGCCTCTAAGGAGACAAAGACAGGAGCAAAGGCCCTCAAAAAACATTTTTCCCGTATTGTGACCTTGAACTTTGCATGGTAATAAACTTCTATTTTTAAAATTTTGCCACCCTTTATCCTATCAATAGTTGATTACGTAGTAAGTACAGTATGTTCTAAAAATCTATCATCAGGACGTTAGGAGGATCAATACTGTGGCATTTGACTGACTCAAAGGTGCCATCAGTTACTCCCAGAGGAAACCCTGCTACCACTGGAATTATGCCAGGACCTATTGACAGTCCCAGTCGCTTACCCCAGCTTCTTGCAGCTGAAACTTTCTCCCATATGCTGAAGAACCCAGCAATTCCAGGTGTACTTCCTGGCATTCAACAGGCAATTTTTTGCATGTTTCTCAGCAACAAAACTACACATGGCTGAACCCACTCCTGGCACCTTTCTATTTTCCGGAACATAAAGCATTTGATTGCAGTGTTGCACGAGAATTCACACTGCAGGTCGCTCCTCTAGTGTTTTAAGTGTTCTGTCTCACAGGAAGTCCAACACACACACAAGTGGGCCTGCTTCCCACTCATTCCTTCACACACAAGTTTTGTTTTTCTCTTTTGCTTTTATGCTAAATCACAGTGCAATCTTCTAAAAGACATTTTAAACAGCTGGTAAATGATGTAGGGAATAACAGTGGGTACAACTTGACTGTTATTCATAACAATATGATAGTGGGATTGAGCCCAGAGCTTCATGAAAACTAGACAAGCAGTCTACCAACCAAGGTTCATTTCTAACCCCAAAACATTAACAAAATTCAATTAAGTGTTAATTTTGTAAATGTTTTACTTTATATGTACAGGTGTTTTGCCTACATGTCTATATGTCCATGCCTGGTGCCTGGGGAGGTCAGAAGAAGGATTACATCACTTAGAACTGAAATTACAGTGTGAGCTGCTATTTGGGTTCTGGGAATCAAACCTAGGCTCTCTGAAAGAGAAGCCAGTGCTCTTAACCACTGAGCCGTCTCTCCAGCTCCTTCAATGTTAATTTTACAAGGCCAGGTGTGATGGCTCTTAACTCGAATCCCAGCACTTGGGAGACAGAGGCAGAAGATTTCTGTCTGTCTGCCTCCTGAGTGCTGCTGGGATCAAAGGCATGCTCCACCACCTTTGAACAAGACTTTATTTTGACAATGGCAAACCAAAGTCATCATGCTGCTCCCACAGTATCCCCAACTCAAGCCTCTCTGGCACTTCACAGAAAGTAGATTTGAATATTAACTCACTCACTCTACACCACACCACAGAAAGTACACACTGGAGTACAGACAAGACAAAGTCTGGGCTCTGTCCTGATGCAGTCAAATGATGGCAAGAACCAACAGGTTTGCATTTCCTTGACTAAATTCCCATTGTTTTCACAAACAACGCCTTCTCTTTTCCTGCCCAGAGGCAGAGAGAGACAGACCCACCCATCTCCGGGGAAAGCAAATTGCAGACCTCAGCCACACAGTGACTTGAGAGCCAACCATTTTAATTTTTTTTTCATACAACATACTCTGATCATATTCTTTGCCCTTCCAAGTCCTCCCAGTTCCTCCCCACCTCATGTGTCTAAGTGCCAGCACACACGCATGTCACAGGAGTGGGGTCGACCTTGTCCAGTACGAGAACCTTAATTTACAACTAAGTAAGCTGAAGTGTTGGTTCATATACAACTTCAGCATGAGGAGGCTGAGGCAGAAAGAATGCTATGTTTGAGGCCAGTTAGCGTTAATGGAGAGACTGTATCAAAAAGCACCAGCAATAACAAGCTTGTGCACATCTACCCACACCCACACATGTATACTTAATAAATAAAAGGTAATAATAAAAAATAACAGTACTGAAGAAAACAGTGTGTGTGTGTCAACAGTTCTTACTGAAATAGTAGATATAGTGAACAGTTGTCTTAACAAGAGTTTCTTTTGACTAATTTTGCTTTTATTTTTAATTATGTACACATGTGTAGAAGTTTGTGCATATGTGTGCAGTACCTTTGGAGGCCAGAAGAGGGTGTCACAACCTCTGGCACTGAAATTACAGATAGTTTTTAGTTGCCCCACATGAGTAAGTACTAGGCACTGAACACAGATCCTCTGCAAAAGCAGTACCCCTAAACCTCTGTACCCAAGTTTATTAACAGTGCACTGAAACTGCTATTAACTCTCTAATCTCCACAAAAACTTACCAGCAACTTACTTTTGTTTTTCTTCCAGCAACACTTCCATAGCATTTCAATTTATTCATGGGAAGAAACCTAACATAGTCATTATGACATGATATCTTGATATGAGCTAATTGATCGTTTATATAAATTATGTAAAATACTACCAATGTTTAAACCCAAAACTGAGTCTTTCTTCCTCTGGGAGATTGTAGTCAATAACAAGGCAATATCAGTTAAGCAGTACAGGCAGTCTTAATGTAGGAGACAGTCTTCACATGAATTTTGGACCTATGTGCTGGGAGTCAGAAGCGTACCGACACAGAATTAAAGGAATGAATGGGAAGGGTGTTCAGCTGGAGTTTCTAGTTCGGCCCCATTCCAAACCCTGACCCTTATGGAAGTCCAGGCTCCTCCCCCAAAGCTGCTACCTGCTCAAGACTGTACCTACGGGGTATTTAAGGCCCTTCCTCAGGAACTGCCTTGTGATTTCTCCTGCTCCCTTTCCCTGCCTCACTTCTGGGGGCTGGAAAGGTCACCGAGAGTGCTTGTCTCAAAAAACTTGGTCTTTTTAATTTGGCTTGATCTGGCTTATTACTGTGTCAGGGGAGAAACCTATTATTGGGGTACAAAAACCTAACAAAGGATGATAATAAAGAGAAACTCGTGGCTTTTCTGAGACTGGAGAGACCCTCTGGGAACTGGGGACTAACGCTTCCCTCCTTTCATAATTCTTTGCCATCTAGCTACTCCACAGAGCTGGAGTATCATTCAGCATGCAGACAGGAACATAATGCATTAGAAGTTGTCTGATGCTCATTCTGGCAGTCATGTTAGGGCCAATTAGTTTGGACCAGCCC